GTCCCAATTATTATGTACACTTTTGAACAATTAATAAAGTTAGGGTGGCCAATACTTTTGTCCAGGTAGTGTATATTAGCAACAGGTACCTCTATCCACAAAGAAAAGAATGCTAAATATAAAGGGTAAATTAATTTGTTTCATCAGCACTCGATCCAAGAGCAACAGACTACCAATAGTTAAAACTCTTTTTGAACAATCTTATCAAAATTATTTGGTCTTTCTGACTAAAGCTTAATTAATAAAGTTTCTGGTTTTGGTTAGTAGGAGGTCAATGAAAAATCCAAAGACAATGTAATTCATTTATTAAAATAATACATATTGATCTGAATTTTATCCCAATACATGATTATCGTATTTTCCTACATACAAATACACATTAACATAATAATATATTACATAAATCAGCACATTTTTACCGCTTTTTTTAATACATCTTTTATATTAAAAATTGTAACAGAATCAAATTCTCCATGATTTATACAGTCGTTGTCCGTTTCATAGGCTACAGCAATACAGTGTGATTCATCCAGATATAATTCTCGAAAATGCCATTCTGCCATGAAAGTGCCACGAACGAAAAGCTGCGTTTTTGTTTTTACGTGCTACAAATTTGCCTCAACGTCTTTAGTATTCATGGATAGGCGAAACTTATTTGGATTGGCTTTTTAATGACTTACGTTACATGCCCCATACTCATGTCCTTCATTTTTATCAATGTGAAAGTCAAGTGTCTTTAAACTTATAGCCAAGCCAACCCCTATAGCCTTAATGTAACTTTCTTTCAAGCACCAATATCTGTAAAAACGGTGTAGCTTTAACATTGGGTAATTTGGAGCAGAAATTACGTCCCATTCAGTCTTTGAGAACTACAAAACAAGACTAAAATTCAATAATTTTGACATTAAAATTATCAATAAAAGCATTCCTATTAACTATTTTCTCAATTACCTGATCTTGAAGACTTTCTAGAAATGTTTCTATATTCTCGCCGTACGGTTCTTCTATCTTCATTACGTCTACGCCGACTCTACAATTTTCCGAAGCTACAAGGACAACCCAATCACCATGATGAGAAACATTAAAGTCTGCCTGAACGCCAAGGTCTGGAGAAACCTAATTCAAAAAGTATATATATAAGCGTAAGATATCCAGCTTGGGCTGCTTGCTAATATGACAAATAGATGAACAACACTTGCCAGTATCGGTTTATTCGCTTTGGTTCTTTCAAATTTTATAGCCTCCCATTGAATGTTGTATATGTTGTTAAAAAGATAAAGCAAGAGCAATCTCCCAATCAATGACGCCTTTGCCTGTTCCTTGATTCTCAATCGACAAATTCGTTCCTTCTCGTACGCCGAGATGGTAGATAATGCATCGTCGAATTCCTATAAAAATGAATTCCTTTTTCTGTCATATCATTATGGAAAAATCAACTTCTCACTCAATTTTGTTTGTAGCCTTGAAAAATTCACCTCGTCAGTAGGTTTCCAAGTGATGATATTAACAGCCCATAGTGCGGTGATTTTCGGCAGGCTCCTGGTTTCCATATCATCACCCAAAATCGTATATCTGACCTGCTATCAACAGGTTTGTGTTCTTTGCAACAGAATCTTTTTTTAGTGATACGAGCATAGGAATGTGTTGCACCAAAGAGCATCAAGTCGAAAATAAGATTACTTGCCCAGCACAATAGGATTGAGATACATAAAACGAAACCCAAACAATCATATCTTATTGCCCTTGTCATACTATTGCTAAAAATAATCCATTTTCGGCTTACATGCAATAACTAATAGCTTGCCTTTGCTTGGGGGCATTATTTGAAGCAAGCCTATAACGACATACCTACTTGTTTGCCACATGAATGACTTTACAATCAAACATCGATTATTATCAAGGATTGATGAGAGGAGAGTGAACCAAAATGCTAATACTAAGGGAAATAATATCTGACACAGCATAATTGATTGTAGATGAAGATTTGTGATTAAAGTTTGATTTAAAGGTGCACGCCGAGAGCAATAAAGAAATGATTTCCACATACCCAAATTTGTAACCGTATTGTGCAAAATACAAGCCTTTTGCTGCGAGTGAAAAAATAGAATACACAAGGTAGATGCTATGCCGAGTGTAAAGCAGTCTGTGATGCTTCATGACGATGAACGCGTAATCTCAATAAGGAGTAGCAGACGGTCATTTCCCCGTCTTGGCAAATAGCGATCGGCAGATAAGAGTGTAATGAATATGGTTATGGTTATGGTTATGGTCTATCAAACAAGTAAAGTAACTAACAGAATACGAGGAAAGAAGGGGAAAAAAAGAGATGATACTCAAGATGCAGAGATGCAAGAGATTATACTTTTACGTAAATACATAAAAATATATTCGCCCTAGTCGCATATCGAGAATATCAAAAAACTTTACCCTGGTTGTACCCACTCAGCCCACTGATAGCCCGTGCGCTACGGGGTGTGTGTAAGGACAAATGCTTGTTTATTGTTCATATGACCCATAGACTATTTTGTCCTAGACCGGTTTTTTTTTTAATTGTGAAACAATCATCTTTTGAAGTTTAATAAACGATACGTAACCAAACAAAGGGATAGCAAAAGATAGGACAAACTCGGTAAAAAGGCAACGTTTATTAATCAAGTGATGGAAACAAGTACGGATTGCGATAATCTGTAATGTGTCATCTGTTTAAATGAAATAACAAATCATTTACTATCACTGTTGCTCATTGCCATTTCTCTCTTACTTTCTCTCTCCATCTTGTTTGCTCATTGTCTAACTTTATTAAACTTAATTATTATTATTATAATACGCCATAGGATGGTCATTTATTGACTAAGCGAATACATTGCTGTACGCCCTCAGCCATAAAATAGAATTACGAAGCTGTGTGGGTTAAACTTAATTCAATGCATTGGGGCAATGTTATTTATGTAAACGCAAGTAATACTAATACACTATATCAATATGCATACATGCATTGTTATATTTTTGATCTATGAAAAATCAAATTATTTGTTTATTTGAAAATATTATTATCCGATCGGATAATTCGGCATAGCAAACAATAACAAAGACGCTCTTGCTTGTGACCCATATGTTTACGTTTCTTTTCCGCATATTTGCACATTCTTTTCTTTCCAACTTTTTTCCTCTTCTTATTTGCTTACAGCCAAACCGCCCCCCTTAACACTCTCCTTGATTCTTCTTCTTAGTAATATGACCTTTGCATACAATTCCTGTTGCTTATCAGGCAAACAGTGGTATGCGCAGGGCTCATTGTGTACACGTAACAACATCAGCAATGAAAATCAATTAAGGATATATCCATTGATCTATAGGTTTATTCGATAACGAATCAAGAGATACATGTTCATTCTAATAAGGTAAGTTGCTCACATTCATACCAATGTTTTGTTTTCCTGTTTAGTTGTCTTGTTTTATCCATTGCCATTGTCTCCTAACCATCGAAGCAAGGCATGCAAAAGGAAAAAAAAAAAAAAAGGAGAAAAAAAAAAGAAGAAAAAAAAAAAAAAGAGTCTGTACAAAGTCGGGTGCTTGTTAGACTGATCGGATACGAAAATCAAAATTAAAAAGGGAATTACGAAAGATAAAGAAAAGCAAACGTATGCGGTTGTTCATATACGCTGTCGTGATTACTGTTATAGGGGATGATGTCATTGCATGATCAAATGAACTTCTATACGGGGAAATGTGAAAATAGAGAGCATTACTTTTCTTGAAACAAGCAAGCCCAACAAGGACTTACATACAGGTGTGAGATAAGTATGTAATCATTACGCCGCCGGAAAGTAATAAGCGGAGAAAAGCATAAGGGGAAGAGGTCAAATGTGCATTTCAAAGGGCCGAATCGCACAATCTGGGTTACTTGACGGTAGATTGTATATGTTGCCCGAGTAAAGCAATCCTACTTTGTTTAAATATACATTGATCATTGTTTCATCGTCGTACCCATACCCCACATCGCATATTATGGGAGTCGAGCAGCAGCTCGCAGCTCGCATATTTTAGAATGACCAGTAAATATAAATACTTGTAATGGATATCACGCATGTATCACACATACATATATATTATAATACTCGTAAATTAGATTTCGTCATCACTGAATGATTAACGTTAGATTAGCGAAAAGAATATGGTAATACATTACGTAATACTACAGATGTTGCTTGGACAATCTTACTATATACCCATAATATGTTTGGCTTATAATAATTGTAGTCGTTCGGGTGTTCATGTTATATCGTTATACGCTTTTTTTTTTTTTTTTCGCTACCCTATTCGTATGCGCCACATAGTCTGCATTGTACGATGCGCCACTTGTTGTCCATCCATCCATCTCTGCCTAATTCCGTCAATTCAAAAGTTCTTTATTTACAAATATTCGGTGAAAGAAACTATACTTTCCGGTGGCTTTGAACTTAAGGGAGATTAAGGAAAGAGAGTGATGCATGTCGTTTTGGGATGGGTTGTGGGAACAAGTCTTGTGGACCGGATTAAAACCAGCCAAACATCTGATAGTCGCTAATTGTTGGGGTGTTTCACTAATAATCAAATAATTGTATTAGTACATATGTTGAATATGCAGTGTCTATTGACTTGGTATTTAATTGTTTCCCTCATTGTTAGTTTTTTTTGTTATCTTTACAAGTTGTCATTTTTCTTTATCAACAAAAGAATTTCTGTGTCGGAATGCATTCTGTTGCAGATGAGAATTTTGATGGCTGGTGGCACAAAATAATAAATACAATAATGGATAATACCTCCATTATGGTTTGGTCGTTATGAAGTTTTATTTATTATGACTTTTTGTTGTTTGAGTGTCGCACAGATTGTACGTTGATTTGTAACTGATCATAATGATCATTGCATATTTTATTATTACACGTATTTAAATTGATTCCCATAATAACCCGCGCTCCTCACTATTTAAACTGGCGGTGGGAATCAAGGAAATATCTAGACACAAGAAACTGCCCCAGACACTGAACAAACAAACGATAGATATTCATCATCAATACAATCACATCTACATTCACATCTCTTTTTTCTCTCTCTCTCGTATTATATCTCTGCACACTCACACTCACGCTCGCACATACACACCTCTATAAACATGGCACATCTTCTCTTCACTATCCGTGTCGGTCTTACTCTTTGGCTAGCATACGCTACACTCAAGGCAGCCACTTTTCTACACATACTCACCGGAAGATATGGTTATGACTCTAAAGGTAGGAAAGAAAAAGTGGGATGATTACAGTGAGAAACTTGTGTGTGTTGGCATGGCATGGCATGTAATCCAACATCTATCCAATCATCTCCTTCCTCTCATACTCCCTCCACTTCTTCATAAAAGTCGCCTTTGTGATAGGAGTGCAGAATCTCTTCCCACCAATACTCGTCATAAACGTTGCAACATGGCTAGTGTTCTGGTTCGACAAGCAGCAATCCATCTCACAGAACTGGAGAACACCCGAGCGGGAATTGTTATGGTGGCTATGGACGACCGGTAAGTCAGATGTGAGGGAGAAGAAGAAAAGATTAACGCATCTCGATAGAGTACGCTAACGAAATCGTTACCTGTTACATCTCTTGATCTTTCCTACCACCTAGGCGTCTTTGGAGGATGGTTCAGCATGTTCGGTTAGTATATGGACGATTCTTTTTCATTGATTAGAGATCCTTTTTTTGTGAAGCAGTTACGTGCATGTTTGAGATGCATCATATAACCCCCGCTCACCCGAATTTTTTTTGTTATAATTCCCTTGTTTCAACAGCATGCCGTCACAAAATCCGGAAAGAGTCATTTATAATCAAAGCACTCTTCTTCACCGTATTTAATCTAACGTGGCTCATATTCTATGCTATATTTGATATACCCAAGCAAGTACCTGCACACTATATTCCTCCCGGATGCATTCAGCCTTCTGCACGCACATTCTGAGAGTTACAGTAATAGGGGGAAAATGGTGTATTGTTAAAGAGGTACGAGTTGTTGAACATCATGACCATTTGCGCTACTATAAATGTGCATACTTTCCGACATGAAGCAAAATCGTAGATTTTTCGTTTTGTCTCTTTCTGTATGGCATGCTTCAGTTCAGGTTTCACTGATGTAAAAGATTTCTATTTACGAGTTTTTTGTTTGTATCCTTTCTTACTGTCTACATGGTCAACAAGCCCAAGATTATCTTTATAGATGGTTTCATTGTAATATCCTTTTTCACTTTCCCCACTCATTTACATAGACGATTGTTTTTTTGTTAAATAGATTTTTTTTTCACTCGATATCATACTCTGTAGATACTTTTTCTATTATAAATAAATATACATAGACTTCTTTTATATATGTAACCCGGTGATATAGTCATTTGTCTTGTTTGTCTCTCGATTGTCTGTGCCCAATTTGTTGTTAGCTTTTACAGCCACAGTGCAGCAATCATCGATTTTGTGAAACTGGGAACAAAGAAATGAAAAGGAAAAAAAAAAGAGAGAAAAAAAAAAAGAGCCAAGATTGGATAGCTAACTTATGCATTGATGAACAGATTGGCATACATCACGTGACATTAATATTCACATGAGATTAACATAAATATAAATGTTCCATGAATGAATAAAAGACAAGTCTCTATAATATGCCTCTCTCTCGTAGTAGTATCACTTACCCTAGCAGATGATATCATTTGTAACAAGATTCCCTTTTTAGGCGCATGAACATTTTCGGTTGTAATAAAATTTGATTTAGATGATGAAGTATATACTAAAAGTAAAAAAGGAAGGAACAATATAAATATCTCGGACTATCCGCAAGTCCGTTGGTAGTAGGCTAATCTTCTACGTCAGGTCACTCTACTGTCACTTCCATTCTCTAAATGTCTCGTGGTAAAATAGTTCTTGTGGTTATAATGACAAAAAAATAATGATAAAAATACTTGTCGCACAAATGACAACACAAAATATTAAGAGATAAAATAAAATGTACTAATAATCCAAACTGCCTGCTAAAATATATGGCAACAATGATCAGATAAAACGTACTGAACGCTTATCTGAATACGTTTAATTAATACCTTGCTGCATCGTTTCCCAAATCAGTTGTAAGCAATGGTAAGAACAATAAAAATAAAAAATGGAAAAGAAAAAAAAAAGACAATAAAGAATGGAAGCTTGTTTCTAGTGCGTTTGGTGTTAATGTTTACTCTTGACCGAACCCTACAGTTTCTTCTACTGCTAATGTTAATTTAGACACCAGTCTACAAAACGAATTTCGTAATTATTAGTGAAACAGTTGGTTGAACCAAGGCAAGCACACATAATGGTATTACTTACGTCTCATAGTTCTTATATGGAGGTAAGTCAATGCGGTTAAAACTAGTAAAAGAAAAGAAATCGTGTCAATACATTATACATTATAAGCGGACATGTTCTGCAATTCGGATAGTCTATTGGTTGTCTCGTTCATCCAAGACCTCTCTGTAGTTATTCTCTTTTATCCTTTCTCTCCATCCATCTGTTTCACTCACCAGGTATGACTCTTGGGCAACTGCGTAAGATCTCCTGCCTTTTCGATTGTAAACCTCCTTGGCCCATCGCTACCTTGTAAATCTTTGAATCCATTGACTGGAATACGGGATGTGCCTGTGGTGAACTGTAATAGACGAGACTTCTTTTCAGAATCCCATGTTTTGACACACTACACGGAAGGAGATGTAAAAAGGTCAATTAGCATGTCGAGAAAAATGAATCATATTATCAATTTAGTTTCATTTTCTATCCATACCTTCCAGAACCATTGTATGACTTCATCTGATTCCGTGTACCCTCGGTAGTCTGTGTGCTTCTTCCAATCATCTACATCGATCTCGGCAATTCCACCAATGAGCAACTACAAAACAGACGAGAATTTGTGTTTTGTGTTAGAAAACAAAATAAAACCCTTCGCCACTGGTAAGTCCCATTCAAAAACCACATTTTACTCTGCCATTCTCGACAAAGCAATCCAACCGCCCAGCTTTTCCCAACAGTTTCGTTGTCGTCTACTAACCTCTAACTCGCGCTCGTCGAATACGGATATTAAATCTTGTGGTATGAGTTGGTTAAAACCTTCTAAGAAGGCTTTAAATTGTTCTTCTACTCGTTTAGAAATTCGCCATTCATTAATAAGCCTTGAGATTTATGGAAGAAGGGGAGGAGCAAAGGATGGGAGAGGGAAGGGAGAGGGAAGGGAGAGGGATAAAAAATAGTTACAATTGCGACAACTAACATATGGAACAATACAAGCTACTAGATTGTTCAACACAACATATACAATGGTTACTCACTCTACATATTCTTTCTTGTTTTCTTCATTTACAGGAATATTACGTCCATCTGGCTTTAGATCAACCGTGACAACTTCACCGAAACGTTCATCTTCGGTTGAAAACGTCAAATCAAGGACGTCGGTGATATCGTTCTCCCTATAAATACGAAAAGCATAACCAGTTATTAAAATATGTCCTAGTCCAACATCTTTCCTACCAATACCCACTTCTGCATTCCCCCTTTCTTTTAAAATACATACAAAGTCCAGGTCAGACTCCTGTAAAAATCTGCATCTACACTCTCCATATCTTGCAATCCAACTTTCTTCTTCAAAATCATCTTATAAAATGATGTAATGAAGAATGCATCCAAGAACCTTCGGTGAAATATCGCAAGACCAACTACACGGCCGATGAATTTGAAATAGTTCAAATGCTCCGGATTAATTCCAGAGTGCGGGTTGATTTGCAGTGTATAATTGTCATGTGCCGAATATTCAAACAAGCAATAGAAGGGGTTGAACATTTCGTGTGATAAAAGGAAGAAGAATTCTCTGTTTGTGCGTGAGAGAAAGTAAATGACGGGAATAATGAATGGTTAAATTCATATCGACCATCATAGACGGTTGTAATAGCAACAATAACTGTTAAGTACACAATGTCCCACACAATGCCCATTATTACTATTTAGCTGACGCACCCATATCTAATGCTCTTGAGCATTTCTTACCTGGATAAACCGCCATAATCCAAACCATCTTCACCATCGAACTTTATCATCAACCTCTTTTTTAAATCCTCTGGTTTTTGTCGCATGATTTCTGAATATGCATCTTCAAAGATATGGTTACGTCGTACTTTTATATGACATTGACCCGGGGCAGGACGAAGAGCCGGCTGAGAGCGGAAGTAGATTAGTTTTCTGCGGAAATCTCGCTTATATTGGGGTACATTTTGACTTTTGAGGCAAGAGTGTGTGAGAGTATGTGAGAATTCATGATGTAACCGTAAACGCAAATATTGTAAAAGACAACATGTTGATTTAATAAAGCTTACTCTAAACTGCTTGGTAATCTCGGATCATCCCACGTTGTTGTCTTTGTGTTATGATCAACAAAGTACACGCGTGCTGTACTCGTAAGCCTCATTTCCCAGCCAGAAGGTAGTGGCCCAAGGTGCGAAACAGGTTGTTGAATCGTGACATTGTTGTTGTTCTGTCCGCCATACATACGAATTTGTTGTTGTCGCCGTGGATCTACCCAAGTGGTAGTGCGTGTGTTGTGATCAACAAAATAAGGGCGGCCTTCGGGCGTTGTGCGTTGTTCTGTTAATAAGGATAGTGTGATGGTTAGTTTATGCAAAACGTGTGATTTGATGCCATATATGCTATATAATACACGCTTTTTGTATGTTCAATTTCTCCTCCTAACAACATCCCCCCTCTTAAAGTCAACGCCTTCCCTTGTTTAACTTACCCCACCCAGAAGGCAATGGCCCATAACCAGCAGCGGTCGCATTTGCAACTACTGTTACAACGTTTCCATTCGACATGCTCGGTCCTGCAGTATCTGTCAACGTAGTCGCTGCTGATCCGGGCATTGGTGAACTTGACCCTGACGGTCTTTCTTCAGGTAAGGTTCTGTTATTGTGTCTTCGTCGTTCAAGCTCGGTAAGGTTTTGTTGTTCTTGAAGGCGTTGGGTGGCAGAAGAGTTCAACGACGGGCGGGTCCAAGTAGTTGTTCGGGAATTGTGGTCGACATAATATGTACGACCGAGATGATCAACACGGCGTTCCCAGCTGCAAGTTGAGGGAAAAAAATAAAAGACAACCATGTGAGTATTCGATACTAGTGCCGTCAGAGTTACAAATGTCAAGACACAAAGGGGAGTAATGTGGATTGTAGTATGAGCCGAAGGCAAATGTTCAACCACATTTTACTACCGCCTCGAACATCGAAATGCTTTAATCTATTGCTAGACAATCTTAACTATGGTCCATCATTAGCTCTTACTTTATAAAAACTTACCCAGGAGGCAATGGTCCAAAGTGATCTTCAAACGCACCGAACGTCCGCCCTGGATTTGCGGAAGATGCAGCAGCTGAAGTTCCACCACTGCTTCCCGAATTACCGCCATTCACAGTAACCGGGGCAGTTGGTCTCGGTGCTGACGAACTCAGTATTCTGCTCGAGTCTGTATTAGTTGGTGGTGTCAACGAGGGACCCATTTGATGATGCAAATTGTTGTTCACATTAGGTTGTGCATTGTTTAAACGATTTGATGCTGGAGCTGCTGAAGATGATGTAGATGGATTGCGTATATGGTTGGGCGGTTGAAGATTGTTACCAGGTATGCCGATTTGTGCAGTGGTTGCATTGGAATTTGTGGATATGTGGATAATAAGTTTTCCATGTACTACTTCATGAGCATTTGATTTTTTTAGGTCACGCGTTAACATTTCTGTAAGCGAGATGAAAGGTGGGGGAGTCACATAGGAAAAACAAACGATACATATTTATTACAATAGCAGTAATAATACGTGATGATGGATAAAATTTAGTATTCCCAAAGAAAATATAGTAGAATTCTCTGTCAGTAACAAAATTGCATTGCACTTTGCCCGATTTACATCTCATCAAACACCCGCATATGCTTTCTTAATCACAAATTGACATCTACTCACCGTCTCCTCCAGCATTCACATCCATTACATCCCCAACCTGCACATTAATGACACCAAGGAAGCCTTGATCCTTCTTTTTGAATTTTCTCTGATCAAATACTTGTACAGCGATCACGCTTTGGTTTGTAACTTGACTAGAGAGGAAATAGACAAGACAGTTTAGAGTTAGAACTATTGCGGGGGCCCATTGTAAGAACTAGTGCCATTAACGGAATGGAAAACATCACATCCTCGGGGGAAAGGGTATACTATATCTAGGTTGTGATTGACACATTATGTATTGACAAGCGATAAAGAGTTTCGGGTTTTTTTTAGCAAACGTACACATCAAAGCTTTCGTTCCAATATGGATTAAGAGTTTTTTTTGTGACACTGGTAGTCTGCGTTTGTTCTCCGTCTACGGTCACTACAGCAAAGGGATCGGGTAATCCTATTAACAGGAAAATTACAAGATATTGATCAGTACGCAGGTAAAGGACAAAGATGGTAATTCAAAAGAGTAACAAAGACTATAAAAATCAAAGACACAAAACAATAACACTCTTAACGGTATTATATATAGTATTACTATATTATAAACATGGTTAAATGTCCACCCATTTGTTTGAATACATACGAAACACGTCTCTTTTGTATAAGCCATCTGCTGCTATGACTGGAGTTGATACAAAGGAGAAAGTAAAGCCAAGGCAGTCAGTCATCTGCTATTGAAATCGCATCAAACAATAGCACGGAAGTGAAGACTCCGAGACCTATACCTGTTAGTTTTACTGTTCGTCTATTAACAGATTCGGGTTCGGATATGGTGCACGGCGTCATAAAGTGTCAAATAAAAGTGAGTCAGTAAAGGGTAAGACATCCAGCATCAATAACAGCTTCTTTGATTATGCGTTATTTCACAACTCTTATACAAGTCCAACTCGCTTCCTTTTTCACGCTCCATTTTCCCGTTTGCTTACGTTTGTTGATTTGACATTTCTCGTATGAATTTTTGTAGATTATATATATCTTTTCTATGTAATATTCGCTTATTCCGTGTTGTGTATTGACTTAATAGAAAGGGTTTATAAAACGAGACGAAAAAACACTAAATATGAGACGGATTGCCTTGTGCACTTTGAGACTGTTTAACTGCGGCAAGTAGTGTCCAATCATAAAAATGGCATGGGCTAAAAAATGAATTAATAAAATGTTTGAAAATTTCTGTATGACATTACGCTTTATAATGGCTAAGGTTTTTGCAGTAAATGATCTGCTTAATGGGGAAATGTATTTCAGCAAAAAACAAGGGATTATGGAGCGGGATAGTATCGATAAGTTATTAATAGCCAACATTCCCATCATTAATGTCTTTCGGTTATTCGTTCGGTTATTTGTCCTGTTATTCTCTATTTCGGTTTTTATTGCACTACCAATTTTGATGATCTACGTCAATAAAACCATAAAAATGATAATAATGATATGTAATAGGTAGACATTGATTACGTCATCAATGCCTAACGTGTGTGTAACTTCAATTAAACTATAACAGTTTATTATTGATAATGGTCATGTCTAAACAGGATTTTATGAAATTACACACACCCCAAAAATAAATAACCTTTTCAAACATTTGCCCCTTTATAAGCTAGCGTTATCAAAGTGACTTGTTCATAAACTTCCTTTTTTGAAAGCACATCCACCACTTGCTAGGCTGCCCATCAACAAAAACTCGCTCAACAAGCCGATTAGCCATTTCTTGACGCAGTTGGGACAAATACTGACGGAGAAGATCTGGTTAAATTGAGAGACGGTAAGCGATTAACCGATGATGTAATGTCAGCTGCATCAATTCACTGATCGCTAAACATTCTCCCCCCCCATTCGCCTCGTACATCCACTAACTCCACTTTCCAATTAATCCTCGTCATCTACCCACTCTTTCTCCAACCTCTTCTTACCAGCATCTCCCCTAGTTGCCGGCGCAGCATACAATGCATTCAAAGGAAATTGCGGTTCACCCGGTAACGCAAAATTATCCAACGCTCTCGTATTCAACACCTTCACGGCGTCTTTTTGATTTGTATTCTTTGTCAATCTGTTCAGACAATCCGAGATAAAGAGTATTAAATAAATCAACACGCGATCCGCATTGCCTTTAATTTCAAAATTACGAAATAGGCAGTTGGCTCGAAAAAGATCGAGAGCTTCGTCGATTATATCATCTTGAGTTTGTGGAGCTGTATTACAAGTGATTGGGGAATGAGGGGGATGGAAGAGAAAAAGGAAAGAGAAGAGTAGCAGAATTGGCAAAGAGCCGGTCTAATGTGCAGGAGAAGGATGTGAACAAAAAAAAAATCCAGAACGATATAAAGTCTGATGTGACATCAGAAGAGATCAAATAGACGAGAATAAAACCAAAACTCCAGATAACAATAGTTCAAACAGATGGTAATAGCCCACTCTAAAACCCATCTCCCAAAAAAATACCAAATTGTCGCCATTTGAACATAAAGTAATATTTTACTTGTCTAAAATTTCATCTCCATCGCTTTCAGATTTGTTCCAAATTCACTCTTTTACCTCTAGCCTTAAACACCTACCCTGAGGCGCTGGTCCTCTCACTCTCGTCCTTATAGGTAACAAGACCATATTACCGACTGTGCGGTAGCTAGTTTCACTGTTGAACTGCGAGTGATATGCCTGTTTGCATAAAGTAGCAGTAATAATTGTTAAAACACTGTAATATCGATAGGAAACAGAACAAAATGCGTGTAGAGACTGAAGATCCTATCTAACGCATAACCATTAGGCAATACATACTGGCATTTTTACAGTTGTAATCTATTCCAGCAACTCGAAAGACGAATTTCTTGACAAAAGTGAGAGGGTGCCACAAAGATGTGACCCGACATAAATTTGTACATCCGGAAATCATGCCGTGTAAAAATAGCCTTTCTAGTCGATCGTGGATCAATAGTTTTGCTGTGCTGTTTAGTACTGAAGTAATATTACTCTCCAAAGGCGGCTAACAGGTAAAGCATATCGTATATTTGATTGGAAGAGGAGCAAACCCTTGAAATAAACTCGGGATCCGTATATGTAACAGTTTCGAAAACCAAGTAAATAGTAAACTGTAAATCACAAGTATTGTCAACTATATAACCAATTGTTGTCGTCATACCTGCAACTGAATCAAAATCATAACTGTTTCTCGGTTTGAGCAAATCTCCAGTAGTAGTAGGTAAGAGTTTACTAGAGTCTTTTCGAGACATGATAAGGGTTTTACATCATTGTGATAGATAATATTCCATTTGTTGTTGTAATTATTAATTTGCACCCTCGAGATACGGTCATAAGTTTCCGTGCATCCAAATGCTTATCAAGATCAGCATCTACATCACGACACCACTCAGCAATTTTTTATATTCTTCTGGTGCTGAATCAGGCATCGATGGTCGTAGTCCGCCCATGATATCACATGCTAAATCTCTATCGAATACGTAACAATAATGGAATATATGCGATGCAATGGTAAAAACTCCCCGAATAGTTGACATCAATCTTAAATGCCATTGTTAGCATGTTGCATAATAATCATGTGCTTTTATATTTAATTGTTGTGTGAATCCATAAAAAGCATAATGCACTTGGCATGATTTCTGAATTATAAATGCAGAGTCAGATTAAATATCATTTGAATTAACATACTGTTATAGAATGCTTACCTCAGAAATAAACAGTTCCGGCATCTGATCATAACTCTTAAAGCATTCTAGTACAACAGTTTCTGGAATATACTTTTTTGATGACTAATTTTTATATTTGGCAGTATAGACTGTTCCATAACCACCAACTCCAATCATAAATGTTGGCATACTGCATACACTGTATATGCTTGTTAAGTTGTATAAACCGGTCCAGTATTGCATGCACAGTACATCATAGTATGTCCGAATAGATGGCTCTTGATCCTTTATTAAGCACAGAAAGTAGATGGCTCTTGAGTGATTCCAATTATCCAAACATTGATATTCCCGAGTTAGCTATTTGAGTAAACAATACAATCATTGCAATAATCAATGCAATGTATATTTAACATTATTTTTATGTGCGAAATAATTTATCTGATGAAAATCAAGCTCCTGGATATCACCTATTTGCTTGAGTGTTACTTTTATTTCATCAATAGAGAGTATTCAAATATGCACCATACTTATTCCATATTACTCCTTGATTTCATTATAAATAAATCCAGAAATTTGTTGCCCGTATTCCAATTACGAGGTCTTGGCGCTTTACAGTAATCGCATAATACAAATATACTAGGTTTCAATGGATGCGCACACTTCAGACATACTGTATTATATGCTCATTCATTTTTTTATTAGATGATACATCTATTACGTGCAATCTGTATGAAAATCCGATGGTAACCCAACATCTGTACATCACATAATAACTACTAGTGAAATGATGTTAAATTGTTAATAATTATCCAAATAATTCAATAAACATGGTGCGTACTTGATAGTTACCTTGTCATAATAATCCGTCTCATCCGTTATCTCGAGTTTAACCTCCTCTTTATAAGATAAACCAAACACTGATAGAAAAACTCGTATTATTTGGCAAATATAAATCAGCATAGTCTACATTTTTTAAAAAGGAGAGCAAATCACAATAATTTTATTTGTTTATCTAACATAATTATGGTAATAGGCATGGCTAACCGTTATCGCATTATTTTTCAAATCATAAACTGGCTACGTATAATTTATTACTTTTTTTTTCCCGACAAATCTATTTGATGACTGCGTTCTATCGCAAGTTATCGTGTATTGTTGGATATAAAAAATTTATTTTTTTTCTTTCGTTTGTAATTGAGATTTCTTATAAACTCATCAAGTAGCTTATTGTTGCTAGTCCCATCCATTGATAATTTTTTATGTCTACATACACACCACACTGGACTACATCGGAGTATTCCACGCGCGGAGCATCCATAGAGAGAATAACAATGGTAAAACTTCTTATCAGCAACCATGTAATAATTATCGTCATGTTTAGTAAACTAAACCTTTATGAGCTCGATGCGATCGTAAAGCCATCTTCTGTATCTTCTAAAGTTATTGTCATCATTATTGTATTTATGTGTCGGAAGTGAGTATATTCTGGCAAACTCACTCACAAATGCTGGTTGGTGTACATTCTTTGCCACTTCCAAGTAATAGTAACATCGCGTAATAAACCTTGTTTTCTTGTGATTAGCCAAATAGACGTTGTCAATTTGACTTGACTTTATGAAGATAATTTGCCAGCAAGGAATCCATACAAGTTTATACGATTACGATGTACTTTCTATTTCTAAAGAGGATTGAATCAAGTTTTCAAGTGCTGGATATTAACAGCCTCCGGAGTTAACGACGTGGTTTGAAAAATTGCGATCACTTTCAACATTCTCATTCAAATCGCGTTATATTGTTATCGAAGTTTTATACAAGATGTTTATATCACTAGTATTTCATAATCAATATATTTTTTAGTCCGCTAAAGGTAAAGACCGAAACGCTGAGGAGTGTGAAATAGTTTATCTTTTTGTTAATTCAAAACCATCTATGGTGGCTTGTTTCAATTGAATTGGCTCTTTTTTTTATTAGGCATTTTAGAGACTTTTTACTAATAATACGGAACTATCTGCTTTGAATTATTACATGTTTGATGTGCTGTGCAGCACATACACTACTTGGATTAACTTGGACCCTCCATGTTATATTTAGGAGTTATGTTTTTATATTGCAAGCGTATTGTAACCTTTTTCACGAATGTAAAGGTTCTATGTCGATGTAGAGTGTAGGTAAACTATGCACTTAAATGTGGAACATAGTCTATTACGCATTCAGTATCGAAACAAATATTCGACGCGTAATACTCAATCATTGAGAAGCGTTACGTTCTGCACTTACTTTCGGATTAATCCAACAATACACTTGCATCGAAGAAATTACCCGACTACTACCTAAGTGGTCGCTAGGAGCCGACAACATTACTAAGATAACAACTAACGCGTCTTAGCAAGAGAGTAATAATGCAAGACTAGCGTGGCTTAACGTAGACGTTCGAGATTGCGGCTCATATAATAATGGCATGCCCATATTTTTTAAGCAGTTCACCGCGCGTTATAAAGTAATCATGATACTCATTAAGTATTCTAGTCTATGGTGAAGTGCGGTTCCTTAGATTCCGCTGCGTTGGCTGTCGAAAAGATATACTCAAGGGCCAAGACAAATATAACGGAGTGAGAATGCAATGCGCAACTTTCATTACCACTAGCATAATATGTCTTGTCTCCTTGAGGGAATCTGGTATCGGGAATATTCGTCTAGACGGATTAATATCGCGGGCATAATTGAGAATAATAAATAGTATTAGAACAATTGTGCAACCGGTTAATAATGATGTATGATGTATGACACAAAAAGTGTGCCATTATTAACCTCACTAATATTAACAGATATTTTGCTTTATAACGAGCAGTCGTTAAAAGAAGGAAAACGTTTTAAACGATAATTATTGTGACAGATTAAAACGAAATCGGATTAAAACGAAATTTTCTCTATTTTAATATGAAAAATTAAAATTTTTTTGGGTGCAATTTTCTAGGCTTTTTTGGGATTTGGGTTGGGATTAGGGTAACTTTTGTTAATAGAAGAGTATATGTGGGTTTTAGAGGCATTAAAAAAGGTCCAAAAAGGCCCCAATTCCGTTTTAATCCGATTTCGTTTTAATCTGCCACAATTATTGTGATCCCCATGAATCTTTTGCCTGTAATTGATATCAAAACGTTATGTTCATCCGATCCGTTCACTTATGGCCACATTTGGCTCCGGTTCGTTTAAACATCGTCCCTATCGAAAACAAAGTAGAAAATCTCGATCGAAAGATGAAAATCTGGTTAAGAAAACGAATTGGTTGATAGTTTTCCTTACGGACCCAATTGATTGTGATTATTTGCGTATCATAACCGGCCGACAACTCAAAACTTCCAGCAGCAGAACTAACACGTATATTACTGTATTAATGAAACAAGTCTAACAACTTCGCGTCCTATATCCCGGTCCTCCTGCTAAGACCTGATTTCCAAACTACGAACACTCGCGCAAAGCTAGTTCTTATTGAGGGAGAACGTGGCACAGCAACCATGTAAAAATTTTGTCACGTGATGCGATCGATCATTTGTCCGATATGCGTGTCTTTCTAATATCCGCTTTATTTCCTCCTCCCAAGCCCAGGAAATGTCAGAATCTTCTTGTCCATCTGCGAGTTCCTCCTCTTTCAAGACGTTACGGATAAGATTAGATGATGCTATTCTAGACGAATGTATTGAACAATTGTCACAAAAGTGTTTTGAGGAATGGCAAAAGTTGAGTGAAGTGAGTAGGCTGGGCTGGAAAGTCTAAATGAAAAAAGAAACGCCATAAGATTGTAACAATTCATGCTAATCAGTTTCTAATCGCATACGTAGCTGCATAAGCGCGTACCGCAATGCAAACAAAACATGGAATTTTATAAAACGGCCAAGGAAAGGGTAAGCTGGCTGGTAGAACTGGTTTTTGTATTTGGCTATTGACTGATTTCGAATTCCTAATGATTGATTGTAATCTATTTACTATGATTTAGAGATTGGCAATTCTAAGAGCTGAAGAACGAAGGTTGAGAATTGAATTGGAGATTGCTAAGAAAGGTTAGTTATTCAGATATTGGTGGGTGATAAGTGCAATGGGCATACCAAATTTGAGTAGTAATGGGGAGAGCAGCCGATTTTAACTAGGATGTGTTTTTCTTCTAGATGCAAAGGAAGTAAATACATATTCTCAAGTAATAAATGAAGTAATGGCCAAAAAGCAACTCTATGACAATGTCCAGCAATATAAACAAGCCTTACCACGATTGCGTGAACAAGTACAGGAAGCAAAGGAACAGCTGAAAAGGTGAATTTATTATCAGTGAGAATAAATAAACCCAGATATTAATATTGGTGTGTCTATTCACAATAATGTGTTGATTAGAGAGCAGGAAACCCTGGCAGAGAGTGAATCAATAAGTATAGTGTTGGGGGAAAAACTTGACAATCTAAAAGGACAGTTTGAAAATCCTCTTGGAGCAGAGGATACGGAATTGAGGTATGTTGGCATTGTATGACTTTGGTCTTGCTATGTGCTGAAGTTTTTATCTATTTAACTGGATTGTTTCCTAACCAGAAAACTTCGAAGTCAGACAAAAATAGCAAAAGACAATATGGATATCTTGATGAAAGAATTAATTGCGTTTGTGGATAAGCATTTTCCTCCTACTATTAGGGTGAGATAAGTGATAAATGTTATTACAATTGCTGAGAAGACAAGTGAATATCAAAGTTATGTTGATTTTTTTTTTGTTTTTTAGAAACGTAGAAGTGATAATCAAGCTGTTACTGTATCACTAAAAGAATTGCTGGAGGTAACTAATTTCTTTGTATAATTTCTTATTTCTGTCTTCCAAACATCTAAGTGATCTAACACTTTCCTCTATTAAAAACAAGGATCTTATGAACAAATCATTCTCAAACCCCGACCCATATGTCCAAATCAATAGTCAACACATCTGGCGACCATATATTGAATTACTTATTCGTGCTGGTATTGCAGTACAACATCCAACAGATGCTTACAAAATTAAGCTTGTTGAGTTTCATTTATAGTGTAAAGAGGGTGACTGAAATAAAAGAAGAAATATGATTATGATGTTCACAGATGGGAGAACATTTGTCAATTTTGTATATCAGAGATTGTTGAGTACTGAATCATGCAATTAATGGCAAAAGGTTTTTAAATTCCCATCAATTTTGTTGAATTTGTAATAATAATTTCTTAAGAAGTACACATACAATGTATGTAGAAATGAAGAGGACTTATGATATATGGTAGTAGAATATAACATTAGTATTACATGCATGATTAATAAGTCAATCGTTTTTGTAGTAAGTAATGGGATTTGCTCTGAGGTACATTTGAAAAGCATTCAATCTTGTTAGTATACTCAGTTTCCTCAGGAGCCAAATAATAAACAATCCCAATGTTATCAATCAAAGAACTTTCACAATGTACATGCACAGAATGCTTCACCTTAATGGCTTGTGTGTTTACTATGTATGCTAAATTAACATAAAACATGCTTGCTAACTATAGCTATTCTACTAAATTAATAGAAATACTCTGTGGAATTTTGTCCATTCTACCATAAATGCAGACAAAGCGAACATTTGATCATGTGAGCTAAAAGAAGCATTTTTCGTAGTGTTATATCGGTGGAAATTGACAGATTTGTTTTATTACTTTAAACGATGTATTATTTTTCAACGATATTTATTGAAGTTATCAGTGCTGTTTTATAATAAAAATATCCGTTCATCATACACTGCGATGACCATTAAACAAACGCGCATTGATTAGCGAGAATGTCTGGTTGTCTGTCATCACAGCTAATTGCAGCTCTTCAGTACCCAGGTAAACCCACTTTTGTGAGATTCGATTTAGCTTCATCGATAGTACTAAAAGCGCTTCCTTTCTCAAGCATACTGGAATCGAGTCTCAGACTGGGATATATTTATCATGAATAAACAGACATACCGCTCATGCTACGCTTGCGGCTGAACTGAAACTTCTTGAGTGCGAACTACCAAAATCCAGCGTCGCTTATCGGCAAACGCTTACTATGAAAAGTTGCCTCAAAGTATGTAATTCCTATCTTGAAACCTTCTACCATATGATTGTCAAGACATCCTGCGGCGACTGTCGAGCGACTTTATCGTATCGCACATGGCAAGCCACTGTTTGCCGGAAGTGGGGGCATGCAACCGTACGGTGGGTGACTTTGTCGCACATGACAAACCACGAAGTGGGGGAAGTGCAACTGTACGATGGTTTGCGCGATCAGCATATATTCACATTAACATTTTATCAAAATGAGGACTGCAACAAAGATCCGGCAAATACCAAATTATGGGAAACGCAAATGAACGCTTTAGCGGATGCTGCAAACAGAAGCAGAATAGACTTGTTAATCATGTGCAACTTCTCCAGGACCCTTGAGATTTCATTCTAAACGTTATTCAAAAAATCAATGCAACCTTGAAAGTGCGGTGTTTAACACTGGATCAGTGCTCGCTATTGAAAATTTTCGGATGAGAGCTGCGTTGTACGCAATGTGCCTGTAGTTAACCAAATCGAATTGGTCTCCAAGTTTCCATAATAACTCTATATACAGTGGCTTAGAAAAGGTCGGGTCTCGCCTCCATCTATGAAGCGAAATCTTGAAGATGAGTTAGACTGTGTACCGAAAACGAAAGGTCCGATCAATAAACTGATTAGCTCATTTTATGTTAGGCATTGACTCAGATAGTGATGACGATAAAAGTAACCACGAAGAAGATGAAGGGGAAAGTAGAAAGCGACGAAGAAGTTATATGTGCAGACGCTGTTCAATATACGATATTTGATGAAGCTGTATCCTGCAATGATTCAAAATGGAGCTAAAGAATGGCAAGCAGCGCCATGAAAGCGTTAGAAAATTCAAAAACGGTTGCAAAAAATCCCGATGCATTTGTGAACAGTAGCATCCGGTCTGGTGCGATATTTCCGTTATGGCGAGAATTACTGATAGCTTCAATGATAGCCTTGGGCTATCGTGTATTGTGGAATTTTCCAATGGGATGCACACATGGTTCGGCGATGAGTGGACTGCCTTGAAAGACAAAGTGTATGAACGTGTCAATGTAGTATCAAAACCTTTTGAAGGTGTTATAAAGGAAGTGATTGATCGGATTGATACAGTAAGGCTCGAATTTTTGTGGATAAAATCAAGAGTAAGGTTAGTTTTTCCATTGTTAATCCTCACACTGTTTTCATACTGAATTTTTCCTCAAATTCTAATACTTCCTACGGTATGTTCAAACGATTGTCGTTCCTTAATTTTATATCAATTGACTCTTCCATATTTTCAGTTTTGTCGGGCTTACGAATATTGGGACACACGAGACTTCCTTCTGGATCAAATGAAGGATCGATCTTGCACGGTCCTATATAAACAGATAATAAAAATTTATTTCACTGTGTATGATTTCGTTGCTCTTTCTCATGGCTTGGTCATGCTGTGATTGCTAAAAAACTGAGACAAATTTCCATTTACTAGTATCGAGAAAGAGATGGAATTTGTTTTGAAGATAACAGCCCGATAATCGAGACATCATTTTTCCCATATAAAAGATTTTGTCGAAGTTCGATGGTATGTATCAATATCACTGTTACTGTCACTCATTAGCATATTTATCATTTGTCTGATCTTTGCATAGGGGTGAGACCGAGACAAAAAGTGCGTCTAGCCATACTGAATGTGTCGTCCGTGATCGTTCCAAGTTACTGAGAACCAACAAGTGCGTACTTGATCATTATCTGATGGAGGATATTCCAGCGAATGCAGAAACGACGGTGTTTGACTTACAAGTTGCTGGTGAGGTTTTATATACTGCTTGGCAGCAACGATGTTTAACATTTCATTATATATTAGGGTTGAATGCTCAGTTAATCGGTATAAATAAAGACCTCGAAAACTCAGTTAATCGGTATCGATATTTTTGACTGCGGTCTCGATTTCGGTCTGGGAAGCAGTTGCCGCAAATTACAACTTTACGACGGGCTTTAGAAGTTTTGTATTTTTTTTTTTAAGGTAAGCCTTTTAGGTTTTTACTATGCGTCATCCAGATATATTTGTGCGAAATATTTATTTCCCCTCTCCCCTACAAATCATCAGGACAATATAGCCATTGCCTTACCTGATCCTGTTGCGAAGAGGAACCCTACCATAGAATATTTCACAGCATAAATTCAGAGACGCTGAAACCAAAACATCATAAAGCAAGTTTTATAAAGCCCACGTTTTTTACTCCCCGAAGGAACCGTAAGACGCTGGACTCCAATAACCAGGTATATTAAATGTCTATTTTTGCGCCATTTTTGCACTTCTTTGAGTCATCAAGCTAAACGGCTATTCTCGTTTGACAAGAATAAAAAACCCTAATGGAAACCATAAATGCATGGTTCATGTCAAATGGTGCTATTTGCGAAGCTGTTCACCTTAAACAATTGTTAAATATATGTGATCTAATGAGTACCTTTGGCATGTTGTGATGTGATCTGAAAAGTATTGACCGAATCGAGTCTTGCATCATTGCTTTGGATATTTGACATACTAGTATTCACATTCAAAGATCCCTGAAATTCATTAGCGTTATACAAATACAGCACAATCAGTACAAACAACATACTTATAAGTGTGTGCTCGCCCATTGGGGAGAGATAAATCGGTGTTAAAGAGGCTGGGTGTTCTATGTCAACGATTACTCCAGATATCTACGCTTGAAGGTAGATTTTCATCATCATATGCATCATGCTTTACTGATCTTTTAATTTAGTTTACTGTAACGAATTGTCGGGCCAACGATGAATGATGCATCTACATTCTATTCATCAGATTGACTCATTGACATGTCTCAATCTACCCTGAGAGACACGGATCAAGGACACTAACTTGTTAATTACATAGAGATGTTGAAAGGCAGAAAGTAGAAGCATTCCTCTGTTTTTTGGCAAATACAATACCTGCTGATGAACCTACCAGCAGAAACTTTGAGCACGCCACATTTTATATGGCCAGTCGATGGGGGAGGCCACTACGTGATAAAAAATATACATATATGGAAATTATAATTATAATGGCTCGACTGAATATGAAAAAGCCATGCGTTTCCTAGAGATAGGTTGAAAAGATTCCGAGAGAAGGGTTTGCCGAATTACGTGAGGCGTTTCAAGCTCTCTCTAGAACCGAGCAAGATATATTTTTAATGGTCCAGCATGAATGGTGGAGAAATAACTGCCAGTCGACGCCTTAAAAAGAAAACGCGTACTAATAAAAGATCTTTTTATTATTGAGACCGCAATACGCTTCTGTGTCAGAAAGCATATCTCAATATGTTGGGAATTGGTCGCACTCACTTCGAAAATGTCAGAAATCACTTGGCGACGAATGGTATAATACCGCGCATTCATGGTAATGTAAAAAAAATGCCGCGATGGAAAACTAAAATACTATTGATATAACCGTTGCTACCGCTGTGAAGAATTTTCTCGAAAACTATGCTGAACTTCACCAAGTCCTGGTAGAAACGTCAATCGCATTACCCAATCGCTTACACTATTGCCAGCCGAAACGACCGTGATTTTATTAAATATGATGCATTTCGCATTTATGGCACCAATGAGTCCAAGAACGGATTTGTGTGACACGTTCGGAATGCTTGCTTGCAAGGAAGAAGAAGCGAAAGACCTACTGAGAACATTTGGTTAAGGCTAATTAGAGAAACTATTACAACAAAATACGAAATTAGCAGAACAACAGAGGAAATTGGTAGATGAGCATTATATAACAAGATTATTGTAGCGTTAACGCTACTGCTCATTACAGTTACGATTGGGCACAAAATGTTCATGTACCCCATTCCGATCAGCAGGTAAGTAAAAATTTATTATCTCAGTCCGCGAAAAGTGCATTATTTGGTATTCAAGATGAAGTAGTACGCGAACAATTAGACATATGGACTGAAATTCAACATGATTGACTTTGCATATACATAAAGTATGTTTTTTGTCAATGTGTATATGTGTTGTGTTAACCAGAGTTAAAGTAACTATAACCAATAAATAAGATTTTAGTATATTGGACCAACTTCATCGACTTGACAACGATCCCTTAAAACGCGTCCCTTCTTTATCAATGTTCTGTAAAAATAATTGTTGATTGCTGTTCTAATAATATTTCTATTCTTGTGCGTCCTAAGCGGTGATTGATAGCTTACGGGAATTACAATAATATCTAACTGTAGATAGTCGGACATTATAGTTTCGCGCAAATTAGCAATGGTATGTATAAAGATCCGCCCTTCAAAAGTAGCGAAACAACACGTTTTCACATTGCTGCATTGTAAGACGAAACTATATAGTGATCCGATTCAAGCTGTTACAAATATCACCTCTCCCGCACGATTACTAATTGCTAATTCACAGTACTTTTGATCAATGAACCCATATTATTCTCATTTCGGTACTGGTCATTGGACAGGTGCACATTAGTAGGCACAAGATTGGGTGCAGTTTCAATGATAGCTATTCTGTAAGATGAAGTTTACATACTTGCTCATAATTGAGTATGGCTGGACTTGCAGCGTCGAGACCTATGTTCGCCTAATAACAGCTGATCACCCCGCTTGTACAGCACTGGAACCTCTAAATCGGACAAAATCACGTCAACTAGAAGTCTTGTAGTGAATAAGGATAACATTTGTTTACGATAGCATTTGAGAAATATTTATGTCTGTTGGCATAGCATACATACAAAGGTGAACAAACAAATAAAATCTTTACCGAAACAATAGTCACTGAATATATTTTATACGATGAAAATCAGTTAGTATAAACAGAGAACAATGCTTCCGTTGCAGAAAACTGAGTCTGGTAAATTACACATAGATACAATGCGTTGCGTTGGATAACCTCGTAGAAAAGTTCGATATTTGTACGACTTTATGGCCATAATACTTGCTGTCACACAGACGATCGACAAAAAACGATATCAATGAATCGAAGATTTGTTTGTTTTGTTTTTTTTTAATTTTGCACGGAATGGATATCGTAGTTGATTTGCCCTCACGCCTTTCATCAGCCTATGAAAAGCTTTACGAAAGCGGCAAATATGCAGACGTTTCAATTCATGTTGGAAAGGAGCCAAATAGCAAGATATTTATCGCTCATACACTAATATTGTGTACACAATGCTCATTCTTTGAGAATAGCTTAACCAGAAATACAGAGACATCTAAAGAGATTCAAAAGACTGCCATGACATTGGAAAATGTGTCACCTGATGTTTTCGAAATTCTGCTTAGGTAAACTTCATATATGAATAACATATTAATATTACTAAAATATCATGCTTATTAATGCTCATTGCAACTCAAATATAAATTTGCTTTGTAGGTTTATCTATACTGGAAAAATTTTATATGATTCATGCAAATGTGTAGGTTGGATTAGTCTTCTGGATGGAGCTAGCAAGTTGGAACTACTTGATCTTCTCATTGCAATTGAAGCCTATTTGATTGAGAAACAAAAGAAATGGATTCAACAGAATATTGTTACAGTTCATAAGTATGCTCTCTCTGCTGCTCCTTTGAACGGGCTTTTGGATTATTGCAATCAACTTATGGTTCCGCACCCAGATATTGTGTTTAAACCAAATGCTTTTGCAACTTTACCAAAGGAGACTTTACTCAATCTTCTCAAAAGTGATGACCTCAGCATGGAAGAAGATGATATTTGGATGTCAGCTGTGCAATGGGCCACTAAACAAGTATCTGAATTAGAACTTGGAAACGATCTAGATGATTGGTCATCCCATGACATCAACAAAGTAAAGGATATTATAGCAGATTGTATACCTCACATAAGATTTTTCAATATGTCACCTGAACAAGTTCTTCTATTTGATGATTTATTACCAAGAAAATTGCGTCATGATATACTCAATTATCAAATAAAAAAAGATTATGTCCCAAACACTACAATTCTATTACCAAGAACAGGACAAAGATGTAATATTGATTTAGTTGCCATTAGTATTAGTATTAATAATAAGGGGCAATATAATCCTAATCCTGGTGATTGCTATGAAAATGGAATCAAGATAGAAGAAAACATTAAAAAGGCTGTTGAATTATACAAACGAGCAGCTGAACAAGGAAATGCTGCTGCACAGTATAATCTTGGCTATTGCTATCAACATGGAATTGGAGTAGAGAAAGATGCTGAAAAGGCTGTTGAATTATACCAACAAACAGCTGAACATGGAAATGCTGATGCACAGTATAATCTTGGCTATTGCTATCAACATGGAATTGGAGTAGAGAAAGATGCTGAAAAGGCTATTGAATTATACCAACAAGCAGCTGAACATGGAAATGCTGATGCACAGAATGAACTTGGTAATTGCTATAAAAATGAGATTGGAATAGAAAAAGATGTTGGAAAAGCAGTTGAATTATATCAAAAAGCAGCTGAACATGGAAATGCTGCTGCATATTATAATCTTGGTTTTTGCTATCAACAGGGAATTGGAGTAGAGAAAAATGTTGGAAAGGCTGTTGAATTATACCAACAAGCAACTGAACAGGGGCATACTGATGCACAATATAAACTTGGTCGTTGCTATGAAGAGGGAATTGGAGTAGAGAAAAATGTTGGAAAGGCTGTTGAATTATACCAACAAGCAACTGAACAGGGGCATGCTGATGCACAATATAAACTTGGTCATTGCTATGAAGATGGAATTGGAGTAGAGAAAAATATTGAAAAGGCTGTTGAATTATACCAACAAGCAACTGAACAAGGGTATGCTGATGCACAATATAGGCTTGGTTTGTGTTATCAACTAGGAACTGGGGTTGAAAAAGATGGACCAGAGGCAGTAGAATTATATAAAAAAGCTGCTGAACAAGGGGATCTTGATGCACAAACTAATCTTGGCTATTGCTATGAATGGGGAATTGGAGTAGAAAAAGATGTTAAAAAGGCAGTTGAATTATATCAAAAATCAGCTGAACAAGGACAATCTTATGCACAGTATAATCTTGGTATTTGTTATGAGCAAGGAGTTGTTTGTTATGAGCAAGGAATGCTTTGTTATGGGCTAGGAGTTGTGGTTGGAAAAGATAAACAAAAGGCAATAGAATTGTATAAAAAAGCAGTTGGACAAGGGAATCCTTATGCACAAACTAAGCTTGGCCTTTGTTATGAACAGGGAATTGGAGTAGAAAAAGATGTTGAAAAGGCATTTGAACTGTATCAAAAAGCAGCTGAACAAGAACATGATACAGCACAGTACTATCTTGGTCATTGTTATGAAATGGGAATTGGGATAGATAAAGATGTTGAAAAGGCAGTCAAATTGTATCAAAAAGCAACTGAACAAGGAAATGCTCAAGCACAATATAATCTTGGTCATTGCTATGCCAGTGGAATTGGAATAGAAAGAGATGATCAGAAGGCAGTTGAATGGTATCAAAAAGCAGCTAAGCAAGGAAATGTTCAAGCACAATATAATCTAGGTTTGTGTTATGCCAATGGAACTGGAATAGAAAAAGATGTTAAGAAGGCATTTAAATGGTATCAAAAAGCAGCTGGACGAGGAAATGTTCAAGCACAATATAATCTAGGTTTGTGTTATGCCAATGGAATTGGAGTGGTAATAAATGTTCAAAAGGCAGTTAAATGTTATCAAAAAGCAGCTGAACAAGGAAATGCTCAAGCACAATATAATCTTGGTTATTGCTATGCTAGTGGAATTGGAATTAGAAATGATCAGCAGTCAGTTGAATGGTATCAAAAAGCAGCTGAACAGGGACATGTTGATGCACAATATAATCTTGGTTTGTGTTATGCCAGTGGAATTGGACTAGAAAGAGATGATCAGCAGGCAGTTGAGTGGTATCAAAAAGCAGCTGAACAAGGACATGTTGATGCACAGTATAATCTTGGTTACTGCTATCAACATGGAATTGGAGTAGAAAAAGATCAACAAAAGGCAATAGAATTGTATAAAAAAGCAGCTGAATAAGGAGCACAATATGATCTTAGTTATTTCTATGCAAATGGATTTGGAATAGAAAAAGATGAGTGAATGACAAGGATATGCTGATCACAGAATAAACTTGTTATTGCTATAAAAATGGAATTGGTAAGAAAAAGCAGTAAATTACATCAAAGCAGATAAGAATAGTGATGAGCAACATTACATTGAAGGCTATTATAGTGAAATATGTAGTGATGTTCAAAAAATAGCACAAAATTTAGAAATAATTCATATATGTGTGACTTAGTCAATTTTCAAAATAAATACATAATCAATAAATTCAATTGTTTCTTTTACATTTATTTTGGATTAAAAAATAAGGAATACATATATAATTCTTAGATGCCAACAAAATAGTTTTACCTGTTGTCAGTATCTACTCCTTTATCAAATTGTTTGATCAAATGACGACAGAATAGTTGCTTGTAATTTGCTTTAAAACTGTGGATGATGCCTGCATCCATCAGCTGCAGGTGTTAGACGGTAGATAATGTAATGTAACGTTTGTTAATTTATTATTATAACTTCGGATATTGATCTTTGGTGCCACTTTTGTTTGAGAGATGCTCCGGTTTGATTCCTCATCATCCGTATCAACGAGATTACTTTTGTATCGTTGTTTTGAACAGACGAAGAGTTTTTCGTTAAGCCGCGAATGCGAACTCACATTATCCACAAGTAAAAGAGCATTGATTTTTTTTTTTTTTGATTTGACACCAACAGTCAAATTTTCAGACCTAATCACGAAAATTGTCTGATCTCATCCAAGCTTTTGAATTCGCACAATAGGTGACAGGAAGTGTTGACAAATTAATATTTTTGAAACAACGCGGTCTTTGATATCAACCCAAAAGAACTGATAACCAGGATTTATCCTAAATTGAGGAGAATGTGTATATGTCATAAATTGAAAAAATATATTAAGGTTTAAACTTTAATTTCATCACCTTTTTTTCGGCCTGGTATGCTGCCAACGCCTAGTGTTTGGTTGGGTTCCATACAATAAAATAGGCCTGTCTCATCAGCATTATAATATGCTCTGGATCATACTTGGCTAACCCCTTTTGTAGATTAACCTTTCTTCCTCAAGATTTGCCAGCAGTGCACTCCCAGCCTCTCTCCATGGAGAGTTATTTTATGAATACCAATTCTTCTTTTAAATTTGTAAACCAAGCCTTTTGAACATTGCATGTCATAATCGTCAATATTGAAGCTTTTCGCAAATCACATTGTTATACGACGAATTTAATAATAACATTTAAATAGCGATTTACGATTAATATTATTAGTACGTCAGATGATCACAGAAAGTTGCTATAATTTTGATTGTGATTTTTCGGGGGCCAATCCTGCCTGCTTTCTATTTTGATACAAATGTAAAAAATTTGTCTACAAACAACATCTACACGTAACTCATGCGTCCAATTACGCGATCTTGTGCGACATACCAACCGATTACAGGTGTCCAAAATCACGTAAGCGAAGGACAATACGCCAATTTTAATATACAGATATGATCGAGAGGTGAATGTTTAGTACCGCTGAGAAAAGTGATGACCGCCGATCCCGCTTTTGTAAATTTGTTTTGACAGTTTATTCGTCACCAAGCTTGTATATATATGACATTACTTCATTATGTATTAATTGTATCAGCCTTTCCATATATGAATAATAAAGATACACCCAACGAATCTTGTCATGGGAAATTAAGAACAAACGTACTTTGACAAGTATTTTCTCTATTAATGTCAGTATTAATTATTATTAATTATTAATCATTAGCCGCTCAGTGTCCAGCTGAAACACGCAATACGTTCATAGTCAGACATACGACCATAACCACACAACCGTAACCGGCCAAGCACACTGAAACTATTTTCTCTTTATCCCACGGATCGTCTTGGTACAATTTGTAGTAAAATAATCCGGGGAGAATGAACGAGATTGCGGTTGATCCGGTCGACCCAACAAAAGAGAGAACCTATAAAAATATTCCACCGCCATAAGTATAAGTGATTGCCTACATGTCACTAGCGAATCCTTTAAAATCTCTTTCCCCTCCCTTCCTCTTACCAAGTCTAACTGGGAAACAATTATAGCAATCAAATAACTCGCAATCAAAATTCCCGAAGTCATCAAAAAATACTTCAAGTCTGACGGCTTGTTGGCATCGGTGTCGTTCGTAGTAATGGCAGAAATGATCTTGTCCAGACATGCACGGCAAGGATGGCATTGCAGCGGGAACGAGAATAAAACACAGATTACAAAGCCTATGCGGCCTATAGTAATAAATGTATTCGGAGTATCTTTTGAAAGTGATGTGAGAGACACGTAATAGATATGAGCATGTGATTACATGCGTAAGAAATGGGTAAATATGTAAATAAATGAACTAATGATAACGTGTGCGTGCATGTGTGCGGGTGCGCAAAACTAAAATACGTACACATTGATATTATATTGGCTGACACATCTTCACCAAAGGTCAAATATCCCAATATACCGATTACTTGATAGACCATCGCCGAAGATCCAATAGATCCAAAGACAATCTTGTTAATGTTGGTCTGACTATTATCTCCCACTTCATTGTATATCGTGAAAACCTACCAAAAAAAAAAAAAGTCCATTAATGTTATTTATACAGGTACTCTCGCCGCATCACAATTCACCTTACTACTTACATTCTGATGACAAGTAAAAGCAAACACAAAAATTGGCAAATATGTAAAAAACTTGGACGAGAAGCGCACAAAATGTATCTTATCACTCGGCGGAGCCCTGTAATCAGGCCCAAAGTAATTATAAATAACAATAACTATTAAGTATACAATGGCCACCAGGGCAAGTAGACTTGTATATCTTAAAGAGTCGAGCTTCTTCAAAAACGCCAACGGAATAATGACCAACATGAAGACCGTGATCCAAAATCGACGATCAAGTAACAAGTCATATTCCGCTCCCCAAACCGAAGCAGCGACTACTTCTGGCATCAATTCACCTATGATAATCAAATACGACGTTCCGACGCCAAAGCATTTTACAGCTATGGCCAGGTCGAAATAGATGGCTGCCCACGGATAAGTGAGTTTGGAAACTGCAAAGAAGGACGAGCGACGACCTCCTGTCTTGGCGGCCGCGCGGGAGAGCAAGTATAATCCTAACGCGGATGCAGTACCAGCATAGATTATCATTAGACTACCAAAGATTAAACCAACTGAAGCTACTGCTGCTGGCTGTGTCGATCAAGTAGATGGAATGGAGTAAGTAATAATGACTAGGGAAGATGGAATTAGATAGGTTCCAATAATCGTATGCTTATGCTTACCATGGCTAGCATCCCGGTGCCTAGTATTGTATTTGCTAAATTAATCTGTAGACGAAAATATTAAAAAGGAATCAATTTAACTTGCCACTGTAACTAAACCATAATGATCTAATAATTCACGGCATGTTATTTAACTGTCAACTCCTAACTTGACCGTCTCCTCATCTGGAAACTCTCCACAATTGATTTCCTTCAATTCCGCTACATTAATGACGGAAACTTACCACACAAGAGAACGAAGAAGCACTACCAGGCTCGTCTTCAATCTCAATTTGTACTTCGTCTGTGTTTGAGCCAGACAATAATGGAGTGCTGGGTTCTATCGACCGGCGGTTGCCTTGAGAACTGCTACCGGGAAGTACTGATTCTTCATCATCCTTTATCGCGTGATATTTGGACATTTTTAGTATAAGAGTATATCGATTATACAATAAAATAGGTGTTATATGACTGCAGATTATCAGACAGTATTTCTATCGTTGAAAGCCCGAAAGGAATTATCAACGGATCAAAGGTTGGCGAAGTAATGTTCATATTAGTTAGGGGAAATAATGAATGCGTATGACAAGCTAAATAGAATATGTGTCAAATTATGCAGTACTAATTCGTCGATCATTAAACATGTGATCATACTAAGAAGACATTTTGCGGCACTCTTCTTTTTGCAATGTCGACATCAAAGCGCATTATTCAAACACTAATCGCAGGAACAACCATTGTTGGAATCGGGTACGCGGTTATGAAGCTAGCGACTCCTAATCCAGAGGACGTATACAAGGTATGTATATGAGATCCATTATAGATACCCGAATGCTACCAAACACTGATCGTAATTGTCTCATCGCATGCATAGAAATTTTCGCCCGAGACAAAGAGAGACTATGAAGCCAATAAAGAAGTGATACATGAAAGGAACGTAAAGCTGGTAGACGCTATCAAGAAATCAGCAGAGTCAGATAAACCAAGTAAATATAGAGTGCTCCGATTTGATTATTGCAATTTAGTTTTACCGGTCAAAATGAGCTGATTATAAATACAAATTAAAAGTATGGGATTTACAAGCGCTTAAGGAGTTTTCACAATCAGACAAAGGAGTAAAATCATCAGAACACTAAATTATGGGGACTGTGCAATGATGGTAAGGTTTTGGTATTTAAACTTGAAGATAAAGTGATGTTAGTATGGCATGGTCGACTGTGTGTCTGTATTAACGAACGATTATAGACAGCAAATGTCAAATTTGAGGTAGTAATAGGGTTCTTCTGTACGATTCAGATTTCTTGTATGTGTATTAATTCAGGATCAATATTCTGTTAGGTAATGCTGACTGTCGCGACACAAATCGACATTAAATTCAATTCACCATTGACTCTCACTCGCATGCACTGCATATTTACAGCTGTATATTGCAAGCACCCGCCCTCTCGCATGAGTCATCCTGACGTGTTGAAAACCATTAAACTGCCTGCTATGTATGGCAATTTTATGTACAGTAATTTGGTGCTGACATTTAATATTATATAGATGTGTACAATATATTTTTTATTATAATGTCAGACATTGTAGGCGCATAATTGTTTACTTCTCCTGACAGACATTATACTGTAGGAAGCTTTTCAAGCTCTTAATAAGACATCTTCCTGTTCAAACACGACTCAGGAATAAGAGAATCATCGTTTGTTTATCGGAATCATAATAGCTCATACTTGTCCAAAAGACGTATATTAACCAATTACTTATACACGTGCTTCCGAACAAATAATTCGTGCTCGTTAACAAACAATAAATATCTGCCCAGGATGCTTCGTCAATTGTCTAGAACTTCATCTTCAATTTATTTCCGATCATTCAGAGCGTCGAGAGCATTTAGGTAATTACAAACATTCTGTTCGTTGGACCAACCTGTTATACCTCATACTATTACTATATTTGGTATTTCCGCAAAGTTACACCGTGTCACGTGTCGATATTCAATAAGCCCGTGGAAACGACAAGCCATTTATATTGGTGTCGCTGTGCTCAACTGGAAAGCAAGCTTCATCTAAAAACGTTCGGTACCTTCCTTCAAACTTTGCATTTTTATATACTGGCTGCTCAGTCTGGCAGATTTAATGCCTTTGGGATCATCTGGAACATTACTTTGAAACTGATAGTATACATTTGAAGATATTGAGCAGGGATATTCTCAATTTTCAGCTTCAAACAGCGTACTAAAAAATGACCTTGCTGATTAAGTAGTAGCTTGTGTTTAAAGGCAGCCACATGTATATTCATTTGTGATTATTATGAAAGTGTTAAATGGTATAATACCAAGCACACTAAATTCACTTGTGTAGTGAGTGAATAGATTGTAAATAAAGTACAGCTTATTAAACAAGACTCATACTCATGCTGTGAAGGTGGAAAATTTTCAATATTTAGTTCACGTTGTAAAGTACCCCAATTATTAATTTAGTTTTTATTATTGCTAAACAGAATCATTTAATGCCTGCTTTTCTTCCCTTTTCTATTATATGGCAATTCTTCAGGCTCACCTATGGCTTCATCAAAAGACCTCTTCTTATTGTTCTTGTATGATTCTACCATAACATCAAATGCATACACTGCATCACTCAAGTTGTAAGAATTTTCTCCACACCAACCAGTATATTCAACACCACTATTTTCACATTCCTCTTCTTCTCCACTACCTTTCGTTAATCCATCTTCACTTTTACTTTCACATTTACCCAACAATTTCTGCTCATTTTTCTTAATTCTAGCTACTTCATCTTCATCAACTTTTGACCAGAATTCAGCTGTATTTACAGCCACTCTTGTTGGATATTGTTGACTTAATGAATTGACCTTTGCATCAAATAGCTCGCCCAAGCATTCTACGTTCTGGGGCGAGGAGTCGACATCCTCAGCTATGGTGTTGGCGTAATTAATAGCATCAAATTCATTATCAAAGGTTTTCATCAAATTAAACTGAAAGTCTGTTGGACGATCTGAATATGTATACACTATGTAAAGTAAATCGTTGTATTTGGTTTTGATCGGTCTTTGTAAACTGGTTTCAATGGGTTCTATGGCGATCCTCCACTTTTGGAATCCTTGCTGTATATCAAACAATTGACCTTGATGATGAACAAACTGCGATATTGTGGGTGGTCCAATATCACCTACAAACGTAGCATATCCCATAGTCTCATGGTAAACGGTGTTTAAATCAAAAGATGCTCCATGGAATATAATCGCAAAGTCTTTGGAATCATCCCAATAACTATATGACAGGTAATACGTTCTGTTTCTCAGTCTCTGAAATACGTGTTTTTTCCAAACGGATCCGAGGTTAACATTTGTATCTGCAAACTTCTGTAACGTTAGCATACTATCCATAATCTTGTGATTAGTAACCGGAGTCAGTCTTGCATGTATTCGTTTCCAAAGCGTCGACGAGTTGTTTATGAAATGATGCATTGGTTTATACGTAAGAGAAACCGATATAAGGTCTTCGACGTCGAGAACTGAGAGAATCTCTTCCGCTACTTGATGCCCAACTGGCATGAACGTGTTTTGAGCAAGTTTGCAACATTCGAGCTTTGAGATTATTGGAGCGAGTGAGTATTCGTTCTCGTCGTCGAGCATAGTTATTATGAGTATTGAAATCAAGCGTTCTAGTTCTACAATCCATTATATCAATATAATGGCCTTTTAAATTTCCCTATACAATAACACTTGCTTTTCATTCAATTGGGTCTTGTTGCTTGGTGACTGGTTACATTAGTTACATTCCATCTTTGGCATTCAATATATCGATTGCATATGTATTGTTGGTAATGCAGGGTCGGAATGCTGGAGTTGTACATGTATTTGAATAGTAAGACGGATCTAACTACAATTCCGCCGCCGTTGGGACTCTAGTAGTTGGGTGAACTTCCAAGGTTCCTGTGCTATAGATATAACTTTTTCTTTGGCACGAATTAAGCGCCGCGCCGCCGATTATCAAATCCTAATACTAACATTTGAAATTGATATCTGAACTTTATGATAACATTGACTGATGTGTGGAGATGGGTTATGCCGTCATCTGTACTCGACGTAGGCCCTAAAATTCAGATAACACCCCCCATCGCTTATTATGGCAACTCTTTCCAATTGATCAATTTGTGAGACACATGACTGAGCGCGCAGATCGCGACATTGTCCATCCGCGTACAACTAACGCTAACTCTCCCGCAAAAACAAATATGGAAACCAAAAAGCAAAACGAAGATCAAACAGAGGCATTAAAAAGAGAATATCAAGCGGTGATTAAACTAAATGAGACATTTACAGCAGTAAATGACAACTTAATTGGAGCGAGAGGAAAATTACAGGTAGGTGATTTTTGCAGGTGGTGTCTTCTTGTATTTGCGGGTGTGGAGGCTCGTATTTTAGTGTTATTAATCCACAATTTATCGTTAAGCAATTTGCAAATACGATCGATCAAACAGACACACTCCTCGATATATGGATAAAAGTATTATCGCAGAGTCTCCACACACAACGATTACTGTCAGATCCATCATGGCAAGGTCAAACTACGGTAGCTTTATAGTCTTGGGGAAAATTCTAGATTTCCTCAATTATATTAGTTAGGCGTTCTCTACGAATATGTCAATCTTTAAATGATTGACTCGTGGATTTGCGTGTTGCTTTCTCTCCATAACAGCTGTATCTATCGTAATAATATTTTAATTAGTGAACACCACCCATTACTTAGGATCATCGTTTGTTCGTCGAAGAACAAGAACGGATAGAACAACAACGTGAACAAGAACGGCAACGACTGGAACGTGAGCGAGAAAGAGAAAAAGAGAGAGATCGAGAAAGAGATCGAGAAAAAGAACGGGAGCGGGAAAGGGAAAAGGAAAGGGAAAAGGAAAGGGAACGCGAGCGGGATGCTGTGGTGAAAAAGAAACCTGGTAAGAAGGGGAAATTAATATAGCGAGAAAGAAGAGAGAGCGGGGACGTGATGATTGTCAAGCTCAGTATTAACGGATATTTGTATTTCTTTATAAGTCGTTAAGAAAACCATCCGGCGAACTCGAAAGTGACTTGAGAATAAGACGGTACTTTTGTTCGACTCGTACGATAAGTTCTAATGTATGTGAACATTAGAACGCAGTTAATATTGAATAACATGTACATTGTCTGTTGATAATTGCGTTATTTATTGTTCATGATCTATGAAGGTCTCCGTGTGAAATAGACACATATTTCTTAAAAGTCATCAACTATGTAGCGTGCCCATCGTTACTTATATGCAAGACTAGAATTTTTTCATCTTCGAAAGGGTCGTATCCTCACGACTTGTCTTCTCAACTGCTTAAATCTCTATTACTCTCGCAAGTCACTCACTCTTCAAGCACGACCCATATTCTTATCCCAAACTATCAATCGGCCATTTCGGTATTTGTTCAAAAAAGTAATCATCGATTAGGCCACATTGATATCTCTCAATTCCAGCCCATGCAATCATTACTCCATTATCTGTGCAAAGCTCAGGGGGCGGGAAAAATAGTTCAAGATCGTATTCCATCGCTAGTTTGTTCAACCTATTATAAAAATAATCAAAAGATGGAAAGAGGAGCAATATGTTGCGATGCAGTAAATCCTACTCCTGAGAAAACCTTCCCAATTACTGTTTCCCTTACCTCTCTCTAATAAACCCATTTCTCGCAACACCTCCACTACAAACCAATTTTCTCACATCCAACTCTCCCTTGCAACATTCTTTTATGCACAGACGCAGTTTTCCGATCAAATGCTCCACAGCGGCATATTGAAACGCGGCTGCCAGATCTCTCCTGACCTCCTCATCTTCTACATCCAACTTTTCCTCCTCAATCAAATATTTCACTGCGGTTTTCAATCCACTAAAACTCATGTTTGAATTTTGAAGTTGAGATTTGTCTTTGGTCATTGGGATTGGGAAGTTATATTTAGAGGCATCGCCAAGAGAAGCATAGCGTTCAAGTGTAGCACCAGGACCACCAGAACGCCCAGGAAGCCAGGGAAGGTTTAGGAGACGGGTGACTTTGTCAAATGCTTCGCCAATCGAGTCATCAATCGTCGTAGAGAGAATAGTATGAGTATTCACGCGGCGGGTCAATAGTATTAGAGTATGGCCACCGGAAATTAATAGAGTCAGATAGGGAAAGGAGAGAAGTGGGTTCAAGAGACGCGGAGTTAGAGCGTGAGCTTCCTAATTAACAATAAATTAAAAACGAATGAGAGTTTGTAACGGACGTGAATAGTTAATAAAGAAGCGGGTTGTCATGATTACCATATGATGAACTCCGATTATCGGCTTCCTGACATCAATCAGACCATCCCATAAGATTCATAGTAAAAGCAAAGTATCCTAACTTCACATGCTTTCCCAATTCTCAAACTCGTGTTTCCACTCTTACCTCAAAACACAAGCCAGACTCTTAGCTGCATCTACGCCAACGCCCAAACAGGGACCTAATCCCGGTCCCCTTGTAACAGCAATGATATCAACATCCCTGAGAACGTCAACTCTTGCCTTTTCCACTGCGTCTCTAATCACAGTCGGTAGACTCTTTCTATGACTTACCATAGCTAGTGTGGGCACTATCCCGCCCTTGGGTTCGTGAAGGTGGGATTGAAGATGAATGCAGTCACTGAGAATGACACGAGAAGAGGTGACAATGCCTACTGCTGTATCGTCACAGGAGGTTTCTATGCCAAGAGCTGTGATTTGGGAAGAAGAGAATGACGTTTGGATGGAGAAATTTCGAAAGTGCAAATGTGGGAAAAGACATTGAAGGGACACAGCAGGAAACAGGAGGGTTTTGGAGTGGCAAACGCCAAGTCTTAATTGCGTGAATGCATACATGACCGGTGATAACGAGATCTAAAAATTTGTTATTTGGATCAAAAAATCTAGATTTCTTCCTATTTCGGTTAGGCGAATATTAGCCTTGCAACCATTACTTTACTATGGACCATGTCCGATTAGAAAAAATTGTAGGCGGTCCACAAGCGAATGAGCAATCATTATCGAGAATAATGAGTGCATACTATACGTATGTTATTATTATTACTGATTTGCCCAGACTGTCGGCCAGATGTATATGAACGGAGCAGTTTTTGTGGCACACATACACTCAGTGGAAAAAAGTCACTGGACACTTTATTATTATTTATTTAAAAATTAATGCAAAATGGGTAAATTTCGTTTCTTTGCAGTTCACCCCATAGATTCAATCGGGTTTAGATCAGGTGATTGTGCGGGCCACTTTAAGAACCTTAACCTGTTTCTGAGACATCCAGTCCTTTTGTGTCTTTGGCAGTATGGATGGGTGCATTATCTTGTTGGAAAAATAACGGCGATGATTGAATTTCTTGTGAATCCATGGCAATAAGTTCTAATTGTTTTTGTTGATATCTGAAGGTCTGATTCAACAAAGTCTTTTTGAATTTCATTAACAGTTATTCGTGGTTTGTTCTCTACTATTTTCTTTAAATAATTTTTGCATTTTCATCAAGCAAGGAAGGGTGGCTGCATCGTGGTGCACTATGGGTGCCTCCTTTAGTCTTGTAACGGGAAATTGTATCTTGAACAGTAGACTTAGGGTAACCGAGTTTTTTTTTATATTTTACGCACCGATTGCCCATCTTCTGAAAGGGTAATAATTTTTGCACGTTCACATTCAGTAAGTTCTCTTCTATTCCTAACTGAAAGCTGGTTACTCATTTTCGCGTAATTTTTACGTAATGAAAAGAGAGATCGAAGAAAACTTTGTTATTAATTGACTTTGTTTACATCAATATTCGCGACTGTTATGTTATAGAATTATTTATGGATACTAAATATAAACTATGGTAAAAATTCACAATCATTTTATTATACATTATCCTGAGCAGTATTCGAATATATAAAGTGTCTGTGACTTTTTCCACTGAGTGTATATTTCAAGTTTTATTTCCGCTGCTGTTGTTATTACGAGCTAATATTAATACCATTGATAAGCAGTGCTTGCATGATTGCCGGAAATTTTCAATCGAAGATTTTGAGCATCCACGACTTTATTTCAGAATTCTATTAACTCAACCATATTGACATGTAATTGGAAGAGAAGTACACACGTGAATTACAAGTTTATTTAAAAAAGAGTTTGAGTCACTAAATTATAAGAAATGGACAGTATTAACATTGTAAATTGAATTCATTTGTATCAATATGTTGTCTTCATACCTGCAGCTGAATCCAAATCACAATCATAGCTATTTCTCGGCTTAGGCAAATCTCCAGTAGGTAGGAGCTTACTAGAGTATTTACTCTCCTTTTCGAGACGTGATAAAGGTTTTACATTGTTATGATAAATGGCATGCCATGCATTGGTTTGAGGATTATACTTGTCCACCTCTTGCCCAAGGTTGATAATATAAGGCCAAATTGTGAATGCATCTGGACGTTTGTCAGGATCAGCATCACAACACTGCCTGGCAAGTTTCTTGTATTCCTCTGGTGCTGAGTCAGGCATCCTTGGTCGTAGTCCACCCATAATATCACACACTAAATCTCTATCGAATTCTCTATCTCTAAAAGGTAGTTCACCAGTGGCAATTAAGTACATAATAATACCAAAAGAATATATGTCTGATTTTTGAGTAAACTTGTAAGTATGAAAAACTTCCGGCGCGATAAAGGGTAAAACACCTCGAATGGCTGAATTTGGTTCACTTGAATTCACTAATTGTGAAAGACCAAGATCGCAAATAAATGATTCTATCCGCCCATTGTCCTCATTATTGTGCAAAACTATGTTCCCGCCATGAAGATCACAATGCACTAATCCCACATTATGAATATCTTTCAGATAATATACAATATCCTCCAGATATTGTAATTTCATCCTCCACGTCAATTTGTTAACACTTTGATCCAAATAAGACAAAAGATTACCACCATTGGCATATTGCATAACAATACTGTACTCTTTTGTTACTGGATCTTGTGCAGCTCCATAAATTTTAAGAAATCGACTATAGCCTTCTGCGCACTTGACATGATTGCTGAACTATTAGATAAAAATAAATACAGAATCAGATTAAATATCATGTTAGTGGGTATATCAAAGATTGCTTACCTCAGAAATAAATAAGTCCGGCATTTCAAAATTCTTAAATTGTTTTAGTACAACTGTTTCTGCCGTATTGTCTTTTAAATAGTTTTTATACTCAGCAGTATAGACTGTTCCATAGCCACCTGATCCGATCTCTTTAAGTTCATAAAAGTCATCATACTGCATATGTCTTACATGCCTGTTGAGTTGTATAATTTTGTCCAAAACTGGACGTATTAGTATTTCATAGAAGAAAACTAAATAATATGCTTGAGTGGATGGTTCTTGAGTGATTCCAATTATCCAAGTATTCTCGGGTCTTAATATTTCTGGGTATTCCTGAGTTAGCTATTTGAGTAAACAATGCAATCATTACATATACATCGATCAATGCAACATAGACTTGATTTGCATTACATGCCTAAAATAATTTACCTGATGAAAATCAAATAACTGGACATCCTGTCCATCAACTATCTTTTTGAGCATCACTTTTGTCAATTCATTTGTTCTTGTATCTAACCAATCTGCTATATGTATGTATCCATGGCGTAATGATGTCATCTGTTGTATGCATGTCAATAGAGTGTACTCAATCCATTGTATATAGGTGCTGTCCCTCAGTTGGGGGCCTGCCTCAATTATGGACCAAGCGTCTGGGTTCCAAAACTCAGGCACATCATAGGCATCATATATTCTCGTTGTATTATTCCACGACTCCATAATGAATGAATCCAAAGATTTGTTGCCAGTTGTCCAATCAGGAGGTATTGGTGCTTTACATTTGAAACAGAAAGCATTTATCTTGGGGTTTAATTGCTCTGTACATGCCAGACATAAATACTTTGGTTCACGTATAAATCCGATGATATAACAACGGAGTGCGTCATATTTTACTAGACAATACATTTGTTTACTTGCATTGTACGTAAATCCGATAGTCGCCCAAACATCTGTGGTAAGAATATCTGGATGCTCGTCACCTAACTAGTGGAAATGGTACATAATGATAAGTCAGCAATTATTTAAAATATTCAACAAACATGACGCATAAGTAAATAGCTTACCTTGTCATAATCTGTTTCATCCGTTATTTCAAGTGGAATCAATTTAACAAATTGACAAGGTAGACCATATAAGTGTATGTCATATCCCCCATCCCGAATATGATCAAATGGAATCCATTCCAAATAGGCATGATTTGGTGAGTTTGTTTGTAATTGAGATTTCTTAATAAACCCATCGAGTTGCTTATTGTTGCTAGTCCATCCATCGGATAATTGTTTATGACCGCAAATGCACCACACGGGACTACATCGGAGTATTCCACATGCGGAGCAGAATCCATATCGAGAGTAACAATAGTAAAAGCGTCTCTTAGCAACCATGTAATAGTTATCATCATATTTAGTAAATCCAATTATGAATTTGTTGCGCTCCTTGAGCCATCTGGAATATCTTCTAAACTGATTAACGTCATTGTTGTACTTGTGCGTTGGAAGTGAGTATATTCTGGCAAACTCACTCACAAGTGTTGGTGTACATTCGTCGATGCTTCCAAGGAATACCAATATCGTCCTGCCATAGTAAGAAGTACTATAATAGACGTTGTTAAGTTGAGTTGGCTTCATGTTGCTGATTTCCCTGTAAGGAATACATGCATATTTGCATGATTGAATTAAGTTGTCAATTGCTGAACTATTAACAGCCCCTGGAATTAACGACATAGTTTTGAATTAAAAATTTTTTCTCGGAGAGAATTCTCGACTTATATTGTGTTACATTGCGCATAGATTCGTCATGGCAACTCTGTTTCTTTCTTAACAAACTAGATTGGGGTTATGACGACTCTTTGTATGATGGTAATTTTAACGCTAGATTTGTAATTTTGTTATCTTTTCAAGAGTTTTTGTTTGCACATAATATCTTTTAGATTCCTCAATTGTTGATGCCAATTCAGTTTTTTGTTGGTCTACTGACGTGGTTTTCGGAAGTAGAAGGTGTTGAGTTGTCAGTTTTCTTAGTTCGTTTTCGATTGTGTAGAGGTAATTTGGGAATTTTTGGGGTTCTCCAGTTGATCTGATTTGCAGAGAACTGGTTTTAAGGGAAATAATCGAAGTTGTGAAGCTCGGCATAGAGCTTATTGTTGTAAACATCTAATTTGCCTACTGTCGATACCTTCAAACCAAATTTTTATTTTCTTGACAAATCACTATATCGAATTCCGCGAGTTGATTTATGAAACCGATGCCTGAGACGTACTGTGTGGCTTATACAGTGAAGATTGTCGTATTTCGGATAACGCCGACTTTGTCGACAATCGGTAACGTGATGGCCCAATAAAAGTTTACATCGACTAATTTATACGCATCATAATACAATGACACGCACGCACGTCGATGTTGCGAGCCAATCAGGATTGTTTTTGGTGCATAATAATAAGGTTTATTTGCAAAATTTAGAAATATTCTATTTAACTTTTAGCATCCGATGTTCGGATCAGGATCAATTTTCTGCTTGAATGTAGATGACATGTACAGCTGGTGAATCGAAATGGACGAACATATTATTTGCTGGATATAGGATAAAATCGGCCTTTGGGGAAAAAGTGTTAGCTTTGGATGAGATATAATTGGCCTGCTTATTTGAAATGTGATTTTGTAGAATACGATTATGGTGAACGGTTGGTTTTAGTTAAATGTTAAAAGTTTGATAAATGATGTATGGGATTTTATTGTGCTAATAAAATTTGTTTTCAAGAATTTGTTGTTATTTGAACATTTAATTAAGATAACCGTTTACGTTTTTTTCCTTGAACCTAACATACAATATTGCGACATTAGTATTCTGTCACAGAGTATTTAGTATTAGAATAAGACAGTTGTTTATTATCCAGATAAAAGAATGATAGTGACACATATGCTGTATATAAGAAACCTGGTTTTGTTTTCTTTAATGTAAAGTTGTATAACATGCAGCATTACGACATCAGTATTCTTCCAAACACACGAAAAAAAACTGCAGTATTATGACATCAGCATTCCGTTACATACTGTATATGCAGAAGAAAAAACTACTTATAAATAAGATAGTTTCTGTTGTTATTAGATAAAAAAGTTTGACAGTGATTTAGTTTTGTTGTTTTTAGCTGTATATATATAATTTTCGCACAAAAAGTACCAAATATCAATATCGTACGATTGGATTTTAATTCAGCATGACGGAAGAGGGTATATTAATTAAACTCTAGTTGTCAATTACTTAAGATTATTATGGTATACTGTAACTCGATTTGCGCTTTTGCTTCAATACGATTCTTAGTTTATAAATAAATAATTAAAAAAAAAATGGTTATTTATTTTTTTCTCGAATTTAATTGGCATGACAGCATATGACGAAGCGTGTATAAAATAAGTTCAGTAATTATTTTCTTATGCTTTTATGACGACATCTGGAAAAAAAATATGATTTACGAATGAGATGGTATGTAAAGCGCTTTTTCGGCTATAAATATGCTCTCGCGGATTGGGGGTTAGCCGCAAAGATCTACATAGAAAATTACGATAAATGGGTATTTGAAGGAAAATTAAGAACGATCAGAGAAAAACCAAAAGAAGTTAGTAAGATGCACAATGTACCTTATGTCCATTGTTGCTCGTGTATGTGTTTAGTGATTCGTTCCCTTGCTTTTATGCGTAAAAGACTCTAAATAAACGAAACTATTATGCAATTTCAAACCCTTTCTTTCTGTACAATCTGCTGTTATGAGGTTTTATATCAGATAACGTTAATAGCTCGTGCACTGTCAATTATTTATAACTATTGCACTTGTTCATTAAAAAAAAAATATATTATGGCGGCTTTGAAGCAATCAAACCACTACTTCTAATACTTCCATCTATGGGAGACGTACTATCTTGGTAGTGTATTTTACAGTGATCCGGACTAAACGTATTTCGGTTAGTTATTGCCGGCCGGTTCAATTATTTTCCGAAAAATTATGGCCATCACAATGCTTCGGGAAGCAATCAATATATCCATTTCAAGCAGTTATATACATCGAACAATTCTATATTTGAATTTATACGAAAATACAAAATTGACTGATAATGCTACAGTCACTATTATTATTATTACTATTACGACTAATTTCGGAATATATCAATTACGCGTGACACACCTAATCTGATAACATATGATATGCACCTATACAACTATATACAGTCTATCAAAGGACTGTAAGACGCTGAAAATTATTTTTTACAAATTAATTAGACTTCTATACAATCACAACTCACCACACCCTCGTGTACGGCGGACGAGATCCTTTGTTGCACTAGAGTCCATCGCTGTTACCAATTTCACGTTCAACAACAATTTCAATGCCACCCGTGTTATCATCAACATCAACGTCAGCATCACCGCTACCAGTATTATCTTTTTTGCTTTGAATGGCGGCATTACCCCCGCCCATGCCACTCGCATCGATTCTCTGCTGAAACAAATCCATCAACCCACTCTCTCCCACAGCCAACGCGTTTTTATCGCTATACTTGGGACACTCTCCGCACGGCAGAGTGGCCGATCGAATCAGATCGTTTGGCGTGAGCCGAGCAGATGCCTTCACTGGAGCCGTCGTTACACTTTGCGGATGGTCATATTTATCCTTGTTTGTGTGGAGGTATGCAGACTCGGGAGCGGTGATGGGATGTTCGATCGAATGTGTATCAAAGGACGAGGTGGTGGTGTTTGCTGCTGGCATGTCCCGCTCTGACGATCGGCTAGAACGTCTAAACATCTTGAAAGGGTTAAGTGCATTGATGGTGGTGGTGATGACCATATTGCTTTTTCGTTTGCGAGGGTCGTTTTTCGCCACCGCCGCCGTCGTCGTTTCGGTAACCGATAGCTCCTTTTCGTTTGTCGATTTATAGTCGCCGTCCGATATCATATTGGCATCTGTCAAGAATCCAGGAAACATCCTCGGAGGAGGTATCATGCACCCAAAACTTTCTATGCCGCGTACCGACGATCTATACGGTTCATTAACCGCTTCGTTCGGCATACATGTCTTCTCATCAACAATAATGTCTGTGGAACAATGTTGCAGTTTGCCATAACTGTCGAGCTGCTGTTGATGCTCGCAGCGATTGCACGCAATCTGTTTCCACCAGTCAAGCGATGCCTCCAATTCAGCGATTCTCTTCAAAGCGGCCACATGCTCTATTTGTATTTTCCGGTATCGTCGATAGTACTTGCGCGGATTCACATCTGCCAGCACTTCTTGCACTTCGGCGATTGCTTCCACCAATTGTCGATTCCGCCTTTGCAGATACCTGATTTGCCATAACGCAATGTTTGCAGGATTTTTTGGCGTTTGTGCAAGCTGCCGAGTTTTCTTTAGTTTGGCCAAGCGACGGGCACGCGTCCATTCGACACTCAGGTTCGATCCGATTATCGAAGCTGGTATGACAAGGACTAATATTCCGCATGTTATCGCAGTGCCCGTTACAATTCTTCCCCATACGGTGTATGGAACATCATCGCCGTAACCAGTCGTTGATAGTGTGACGACAGACCAATAAAATGAATGAATTATGGATTGAAAGGGACTTATTTCCAAGTGCCCATTTGGGTTTCTTCTAACCCATAGATTTTGTTCTGCGTCAAATTCTCCTCGTTCTGTCAAAAACATCAAACTGGATGAAAGAATGAGAATGGAGAAATACCAAAATGACATAAACAATATTTGGTGTGATGAACGTCGCACGACTTTCATGGCAGCCTTGTATGAAGAAAGAATTGCATGATTTAATAATAATTGAGAAATTTGAAGAGCTGAATGAGCATGTTAAATCAATTTACCCGGAATCCAACCGTGTGCCTTGTAAAGTCGGACAGTCGAATGATCCTGACAAGTTGCAAAATGCTTAGAAAATGGGACGCATTCTAGATAAACGCAAGTGAACTTATTAATACGCATAAAATATGTCATGTCAAATATCAAGACGAGCATAAAAAGATCGATTAAAGTCAATGTAAAGAAGTTGTCAATGTCACTATGTATTATAAAAGATCACCTGTTTACTAGTGTTGGTCCATAGGTCTTGCCTCGGAATAGCGAGTTGAATAAAGAATGGAATAATTGCAATCAGGTCGAGTAAACTCATTAGTCCTAGATGATTAGGCCAGTTGTTACGTTAGCCAGTTATTGCGTCAACTATATACATTGTTAACTAAGAAATCAAGCAACTCACCAAAGAAGAACTTTTGTTTATTCGCCGAGGCAAAGAATCTCCCCAAATATTCCACGGTAAACGTCACATTGAAAAGAAGGCGAAACGGCATCCTGGAAAACAGATAATCAGATTACTATTGAATCTTGTTTAACAAGAAACTTGCAGCCCGAGTCAAGTCTCAATCAATTGTATGTATCAAGCAGACAATTCAAAACACTAAATACTTTTTTTTTTACTCACAATAAAAGCTGATTAGACAGCTCATACTTTGGCAGAGAATTAAGGCAGATTAAAATCACGGCTCCAACAGTGCACAAAGCAGAGAAAACCGAGAAAAGTCTAGCGGCAAGACTCCGGGGTACTTCAAAGAAATGATACAGCTTCTCTTGAAATGAAGTTCGTTTCAGGTGGCCTTCGTCATCCTAAACAAAAATTCCAAGTCCTTAGTTTCTGGCCAATAAGCAGAGCGGTGTGGATGAAATATCAAAACCGCTTACGGGGGTATTACCTTTGCGTCATCGCGAGTATAATCATCCTCCTCTTCCGAATCAGCGATATTGTCACTCAGCAAGTCATCTACATCTTGTCCATTTTGCCTGTTGGACAGGCCGGCATTCTTTGATTTTTCATAACTCTCCTTCTTGACTCTAGCATGTCAGGTAGAGTTAATGATTGGAGTTACTCTAATTAGTTTTTCCTAATAAACTTTACCAACCTTCCCATGATCCAAACATCGCCACCGCTGCCGCCCTTACTTGTTATATAATTGAATTGATTATTGCTATTATTATTGCTACAATCTGTGGTCCAGAACTTTTTCTCATCAATATCCGGGCCCGTTGGAAAAGTAGTAGCCATTATTTAGTATTTTTCTATCGCGGTAGAGATAATGCAGAATTTGCTGGATCAACTGAGATATGGTTGGTTTCGACGAGAATGAAAATGCCAATGACATCGCAAAACGCACAGCGCATGCAATAGTTTTGAAAAAGAAAAAATTCTAATCGCTCATTAAGAGATTCGGAGAGGAGGGAAGATATGGGGAGAAAAAGATATGGGGGTAAATTTTAGTTTCTGCTTTTTTGATATTAGACGGTGGAGCAACGTCTATATTCAAAGTTCTTATATAGAAAATCTCTTGACCTTTCCTTCCAATCAGATATACCTTTTACTACCTACCTCATATAATAATTATTTTCATAATAAAAGTTGTTGAGAATCATCTGTGAATAGGATAAACGTTAACCCCATTCTTGATCGTCCGTCCGGGGCGCCAATTGTTAAGACGAATCCTCCATCGAGTTTCGACTAGGGACCAGAAGAGAATTTCCAAAATTTCAAGAATAGAAACAGACCTGATGATACTCATGATACTCCACACATTTTTTCTCCAAAAAATAAACAAGCATAGTTACTCCGTGTATGGATTGTACTCTGCAACATGAATACTCAGATGTGATCTCGTGAGGAGACTTTAAGGTACATTGGTAGCCATTAAACGACAGATTGCCAAGGATAGAGGGTTTGATTGGGAGGATATTACAAAAACGGTCGGCGAACAAAACCCTACTTGGATAGAATGATCTACATGTCATCTGATGGTAGTGCACGGATCGCCTAATAGTACGAACTTTCGGGGGTTCCCCTACTAATATAGATACTGTAGATGATAACATATAAAAGCGTACCAATCCCACACGAATGAATTCACGAGCCTTCTCTGAAGAACTTTCGTTGTACTATTTATGTTGAAAGAAAATCGTGAAATTGAGGAACGGCTCAATTTCGTCTAACGATTGTGTGATTGAGGCCAAGAGGTTCCATAATCAGTCTGTTAACAGTGACCATGTGTTCAATGTAATTAATACAAAAAGAATTATGGAAGATTAGATAATATGTCTTGTGAATATATCAAATATTTTGTTTAAAGTCAATTAGAACCACACCAGTTTTATTGATTATTTTCATCTACACTCAAGGTGTGAATAACAACAAGTTTGACCAAGTCAGCGTTACTTTTGTAAAAGACTCTTCTTTACAATGTGTCATGCACGCAATACACATTCAATATGCTGAAGCTTTCCCATAAAATTTGACAAATAAAGAAATCAAGGGCCGAGTACTTTTCCAGGCTTAAATACTGTAGATCTATTACTATCCTAAGTAAAGCTAAGTTGATAATATAAGTCATCGAGTGGTCATTCTTTCACAAAAGCAAATGACCAAAAGGGGTTGTCGGTTCTTTTCTTTAGCCGTCAGGAAACAATAAACCAAGCGAAGCGATTATGAATCAAGACTTTTCGAGAAACTTATTCAGGAAACTAGTAATGATCTTTGCTTAGATAATTCTTTCGTAAAGTTCAAATACAGCGCAAGTCTAGGGCGATAAAATCATTCAGTTCGGAAAACTGAACTAGGTTGTATTAGACAACGTTAATACATGATGAATACACCCGTTTGAAACTGCAACATGTGTCACTTGCATCGGAAAAATATTAAGGCAGGTCGTTGTGACATTATAGTTCAGAAATATTGCGGGGAAAGTGATCAACATGAATTTTCACATGCAATTCCTCATTTAACGTTAGCTTGCGGCCAGTATGGAAAAGCATTGATATAAGCGTACCCATTATGTATCAGTCCTGATTAATATAACAAAACAATGAGGAAAATAGAATAAATACTTTGTTGATGTTGTCTTCTATTACTATATACCAACTATTGTATATTATACCAAATAAACTCTCATGTTCAAATACTGTATAAGTAGGCGTCAATGAATATTACGTTATTATTACCCAGTAAATAATGTAGCCATTCTAAATTTTACAACAATTATTAACCTTCTATAAAGAACTACTTCATCCTCTGAATCCCATGCTATTCCATTATTCGACAAGATTTGCTGATC